TGTACAGTTGGAGTCCCCACCATGGCCATGTTGCCTGCCTCCCTACTGGGCCCTGTGGCCTCTGTACCCTGTGAGGGTCACTCAGTCAGGTCATGGTGTGGGGGTTTCCTTATGGTTAGAGTCCTCCCACCTGGAAAAGGGGAATCTGGGCAGGTGCTACAGGGTGTGTGGCTGGGTGCCTGGCCACTGCGTGTGTGGGTGTGGGTGTAAGCTGGGTGTGTCTGTGAGCTGGGTGTGTTTGCAGATAGCTTTCCCTATTTAGTTTTACCTCTGAGCAAGGCTTACCTCACAGGAAGGCAATCCTTCAAGCATGTGACACTGCCTTTGACCTGGGTTGGCCAACCCAGAAGGTCCCAGGATACATGCAACCCAGGTCCCTGCCCCAGTTGGCCCCCAAGTTGCCCAGTTAGTTGCTGGCAAGCTCTGTATTATGCTTCTGGGAGGAGAAGACTTCAAGTGTTAAGGGGCCTGGGGGACCCCTGTGTCATTTGTGATGTTGGCTTGCGGTAGGGATGTAGCTTCAGCCACACCGCACTTTCTTGGCTCTGGACCTCCCCACGCTCATCTGTCACCATCCACAAAGAGTAGTTTCTCTGTCCACATAGAATAGTACATAGGATGGACTGTCTTTTTAATTCAGCACTAGGAGTGTTGGAGTTAGTGGGCACAGCCGGGGTCCCCTCAGCCTTTCAGATGGGATGGTCTGGCCTTGGGATGCAGCCTATTTAAGCGAATGTGCAGTTGTTTCAGCTCTGGCCATTAACTGACTCCTTGGAGGAAGTTGGATCTCTAGGTGAAGCTGAGGCGTGGCTAAGAAGCAAGGCTGCCTGGAAACTGGCCTGCTAGTTTGGTATTAGGCAAATCAGGTAGTACAGAAGTCCAGGGCCCATGAGGAAGTGTCCAGCTGCTGCCTTCAGATGTGCTCTCCATGCTAAATAAATCCTGATTTATTCCAGTTCCTTGGTCTTGGGGTCCTTTCCCAGAGGAAGGCAAGAGGAGAGGGTGGAAACAACTTAAAAGGAGAGTTATAGGTGTCCTGTAGCCTTGGTAACAGATTTCTACAAACTTGCTAGCTTAAAACAACATAAGCTTATTCTCTCCTGGCCCCAGTACCATCAAAAAAACAAAAACAAAAACAAAACCAAGAATTTAATCTTGTCAGCTCCACGCTGCTGCATTCCTGCTGAGGTCAATGGTGGGGTCTCCTTGGTGATGTCCCCGGGTGAGGAAGTGCAGCAGGAGCATGGAAGCAAGACTTCCCTTGTCCATGAACTACAGCTTAGGGTTTGGGATAATCCTTAGCAACATGCACCCCTGATGTAGGTCTTCTCTGGATCTGGCCTGCTGGCTGGGTTCCTGCTGCAGGGGAAATACCTCCTAGGACTCCATGTGGGTGGTGTGTGAGTGCATGAAGAAGCTGGCTGATGTCACCTGCCCTTCTGATGGAAGTGAAAGGAGGAGGAGGGACACACCTGGGTCCCTTTGCCCCAAAGAGCTCTCTGTTTGCTAAGCAAACATAGGACTCTGAATCCTGTGATGTCTCTCCCTCTGGCTTTCACCAGCTTCTGAAGGCTGATGTTCAACTTGGGCAGTTCATTTCTCACAATGGAAAAAGCATTTATGGTAGCTTCTGAGTGCCAGTCACTAGGTATGTTTTCATTTAATTCTTACAATCACTTTTGTGGTAAGTGATACCCCTTTTGTAAGAGGTAACTGAGGCTGCTTAGGGAAGCTGGTAAGTTGCTTATAACCACATGGGCATTTGGCTCTAAATTTTATTGGCTCTGGATATCCAGGCTGTACCCCAACCTAGGAGACAACATGGGTGCTGCATGTTCACCCACCCAAATTGATTTCTTGTCTCTGTAGCATCCGTATGACTTGCTTCTAGTGTAGAGGAAAGACCATGGAAGTGTCCTATGTCACTGTCCATGGCTGCCCAGCCTCGTGCAGGCAAATGTACCCCCTCCTTACTCAGGGTTATCCTCTGCTTTTCCTCTCAAGAGGGTCTTGGGTCAACTCAGAACAAAAGACACCTTGGTTTTTTAGGTTTTTTTGAGACAGGATCTCACTATGTAGTGTAAATTGGCCTCAAACTTGTAATCGTCCTACCTCTGCCTCCCAAGTGCTGAGATTATAGACAGGGACCACTGTGCCCAGCCACCTTGTTCTTTTCAATGGTGTCCAGTGTTCCTGTGTGGATGCCCCAAGTGTCTTTGGTGGGCATGTGTGTTTCTGGTAATCACCTTCCAGTAGGAAGGATGCAGCAGTGAGTGATTTCATAGGTGTCACCTCATAGGTGCACCTCACAGAGGCAGGAGGTGAGAAGGTATAACTGAGAGACTTCACAGGTCGCCTTCTTAGGGTTGTGGCCAGTTCATGTGTCCACCAGGAATAAGTATGCCATGCTTCCCCAGCCCCCAGGCTGTTCTCACAGGAGACTTGAGGGGCAGAAGCCCTGGCAACCCCCTTGTACCATTGCATGACCTAGCTCTCCACGTCCTTCAGAAGCATCTGCACAGCTGTCACCTCACTTCTTCCTTGAGGTGACACTGTGGTAGATGCCATTTGCGTCCCTGCATGTGAGGAAGTGTGGTCACAGAGGCTGGCGCCCATGGACTGGCTGGAATCTGACCTTGTCAGGGTTAGATGCGGGCCGAGGCTGTGACCCCACTGCACTTCGCACAGGCTGGGAGGAAAGGTTTTCCAACGGAAGAGGGTTGAAGCTGTGGGAGCCCCATAGGCCCCTCCCCTCCAAATGAAATCTGACCTCTTGCTCTTTCAAACAGAAGTCCTAGCTTGGTTTATCTGTTATGTTAACGGAAGAATCTGCAGTGGTTTTCCTTTTCTCTTGGTGAGGATGTGCTCCTGAGAAGTGAGCACTGAGTGGAGTCTTAGCAGCAGCAGAACTTGGAGTGAGGCTGATGGAAACTAGGTGCCCCTGTTCCAAATTCCACCTTGATCTGGTGTAGACTTAATGGGAACTCCTTGGTCCCACACCTCTATCCGTGTTTCCATCCCTCCCCTCTCCCCTGGAATTTTAAGGTGGTTTGTATAATCCTCTGTGGGCAGCTGTTAGCAGTTACACCTGGGATATTCTGGGTAGACTGAAAGTATACTCTGGAATCTGCCAAGGCCGCTGAGGCCCAGCTCTGTTGTTTACTAGCTATGCGGTCTTGGTCAAATTTCTCAACCTGCCTGATCCCCAGTTTCCTCATCTGTAGAGAAGACCCATGGAAGCCAGTTCTGGTGGTACATACCTGCAATCCCAGCACTTGGGAGGCTGAGGCAAGAGGATGACATGTTCCAGGCCATCCTGGGCTACTCAGTGAGATCCTGTCTCAAACAGCAACCAAGAAACCATGGCACTGACACCATAGGGTAGCTGTGGGAATGAGGCCCTCACCCATCATTTGTTAGTTTTATAGCGTCTGCCTAGAGTTCCAGGCCCTGCCTCTGGCTGTGAGGCTTCGTCATCCCTGAATCTCACCAAGCCACAGCTTGCTCACAGAAACCCAGACTTCCCCAAGTCCTTGCAGCTGAAGACATAATTGCACTTACTAACACTTAATTTTGGCACAACTTTTTGTGTTAACATATGGCCTGTTTAAATATATTCCAACCAAAAAGCTGCCCAGTGACTGTGGACCCGGACAGGACAGATGCCCAGTCTGCCAAGAGTATGTTAGGCTGCCCACAGGCCTGTGACTGGCCTTCCTGACTGTGCCTCCCCCAGAGGAACCTTTGTTTCACTCTGTTCTCTTCCACTTTCCCCCTGGGATCCAGTCACAGCTACAGACTTGTATTGAACATCTGGCATAGGCTGGGGATGCAAAGTCCTAGGGACATCAATCCCCTGACAGTGTGCCACTGTTTCATTGCCTCATTGATGGTGGGGACTGCATTGTTGTCTATTATTTTAATGGACCTCCTATTTATCTTTGGCAATCTTCCTGGTTCTTGATGCATTTTTGAAAATATTTGTGGAGTTAGCAGGTTTACTAAGCAGACAGTTTCATGGTTGGTTTTTTTGTTTGTTTTTTGGTGTTTTTTTTTTTTTTTTTAAATACCTCACCTCATTCCGGAAAGAACTTAAGGTAGCCAAAACTCACATCCTAATAGGGTTCTACCTTCGTGTGTGATTCAGTGAGGTTGTAGAACTGGGTGGGTTTCTGGTGCTCACTCCTGGCATCCTGGGAAGCCTGTGGGGTGGAACTTAGGGGGCAGCTGGTAGGACAGATTCTAAGGTCCCTGGTTTGCCTCACTCCACCACCCCCAATTACTACCTTGGAGCCAAGGAGTTCTCCCTTCGGGGTCTCATTCTGTGAAATGGAGTTTCAAGCTACCCATCTCCTGGGCTAAAGTTAGGTTACAAGAGTGAGCCCTTATGGTCTGGCATTGTTCAGTGCTATGATTAGTAAATAAAATAGAGTCCAGTGTCCACCTGCCCTACAGTTCAGGGATGTATTTTCTGAGAGGTGCTGTAGCCTGGGGAAAACCCCAAGTCAAAGGGCCTTTCAGCCCATGAGTGCTAGTTTCTCACCTGGCTGCAGTGATGGGTGGCCTGCTTCTAGATGATGGAGTACATCATTTCAGACCATGTGGTCTCCCTGCAGGCATGACTTAGCAGAGCTGCTCCCTCCACCTCCTCCCTTTGTGCTCAGACTCACGGGACCCTGTTGGCTGCTCTCCAGTCTTGACTTTTGCTCCTGAGCAGTCACTGGGGGTCTTCACCAGGGGTCCGCAGCTCTCTGAGGGTAGGGGCTGCATCAGGTCCTGTACCTGGAGTGCTAACCAAAGTAGGCTCATGATGGGCCTTAGAGGTTTCTTTCTGAGTGACCAGGTGGCTCAGTCTGTTGTGAGCTTTCTGGTGTTCCTTTGGGGGATATGTTGTGTACCTCTAGGGGAATTGGAGGTTGACAGGGGAAAAGGATAGACACCCCTGTCCGTTGGGTCCCATGGCTATGGACAGAACTTTGATCCATTGTCTTCTTTTGCAGAGCCCACAACCATGGTGGTACCACCAGCCAGCTCCGAAGCCCAGGTACTCAAAAACAATTTTAAAGATTATTTGAATCATATTAAAACTTACTTTATTGTATAATGTAAATCATCACATATACAAAGTTGCACAATTGTTTCAGTGAGGCAAGACACAGATAAAACTCACTGAGGGGTTGAAGAAGCCCTTCACAGAGGACAGGCAGGGCCAGAGTCCATTGGGTGGTGAGGGTCTTGGTAAGTGTCCCTGAGTGCTGGTCCCACTCTTGCACCCATAGGAGCAAGGGAGTCAGTGCTTCTAACCACTCTTTCCCTCTGCAGAGGAAGGGGTTGCATCTGGTCGTCAGGGCAGAGAGCTTGGGATGGGCGTGGATTTTGGGGCAAATAGGAAACCAGCCAATGACTGATGCCCAGGGAGCCCCACCCAACCCACAGCTTGGACCCCACAAATAGCACATCTCTCTGTGTCTCCTCTTCTACCTACTGGCCCCAGGTCATATCTTCAATTTAATATTTTATCTTTTCACTGCTTTTTTAAGCCAGTCTTAATACAATACCAATTTATAGAGCTAGGTGTAATTGGGCATGCCTTTAATTCAAAATACTCAGGGAACTAAGATAGGATCATGAGTTTGAGGTCAGCTTGGGCCACCAACTGAGACCCTGTCCAAAAACAAAACAAAGCAATAACAAAACCCAATAACTACTTATATATTAAACACAGTGGCATGCCAAGAGTGGAGCTGGGGATGGCCTAAAAAAGGACCTGTTGTTGAGAACGTAAAAATACTAACAAAGCCAGCCCCAAATCTATGCTGCATCTTACCACAGTTCTCTCTCTTTGTTTGGTGGTACAGGAATTTGAACTCAGGCCTCATGCTTGCTGGGCACCTATTCTAGCACTTCAGCCCCTCTGCCAGCCCCTTACTGTAGTTCTCAACAATGGCAGTGAGAAGATGCCCCAGTGCCTTGGAATGCTGCTATTTAAGCAACATACTGCTGAGTTGCTGTGAGCCCTGTGATAATGGTGGTGTTCTGTATGTAGATTCTTGGGATTTGGAGGAGGAACAACTGTGTGTTTCTAGGACTCATCTACATTGTTACATAGTTGTTAGCTCTCCTTTTTTCACTGCTGCATAATATTCTGGATAGTTTATTTCCCAAGTCCAGGCTGGGATGTCAGTTGGACCCTACTGTCCAGAGTCCCCAAATAGAGGCATAGCTCCTGCCCACCACCCAAAGACTTTCCAAAGGATGCCCATTGCTTAATATCTTAAAAATATATACAAGGAGGGCACCCTTTCTTGGGACCTTCCTCCAACTCTGGGGGCTCTACTCTCCCACTTCACTCTTTTCTATCTCAATAAACTCTTCTGCTTTACACTTTATATATGTACATATATATACAAAGTGTATGTATGTATATGTAGGTATATATATATATATATATATGTATGTTTATGTTGTATATGTATATACAAGGAAATTTGAATGGGGTGTATCTAGTCTGGACTGGTCTCAGTGCTCCCATATGAACCTGAGAGCCCCATCCCCAGGAAATAAAGCAGGTAGCTACTCAACATCTAATCTTGACTTGCGTTTCATGAAACATCTGTGCAGCCCCTTCAGTCAGGGGCAGGTTCCAGGCTGCCAACCGTACTTGCAGGCTGCCCAGTCCCAGCCCAGCCCAGTGCTCGAACTTGTGGGTGGGGCTGGAAGTCCTGAGGCTGGCCAGCTACCCAGACTTTTCCTTATGGGAAAGTAAGCATTCTGTTTTTCTAAAGAAAGTTTCCAATGACTTGGGGAACAGAAAAGCTTTTACCAAAGTAGCTATCAGATACAAGGCTTGGATGCTTAAATTGGAGTTAACCCTTTCCCTGATGTGTTGCTAGCTCAGGCCAGCAACCAGGAAACACAAGGGGAGATAATGGGCGGGGGCCATGGTGCTACTCTGGGCTGTGCATGGGGGTCTTTCCTACTAGTCTCTCAGTCTGCCCCACCCCATGACTCACGTGGTTTCCATCTTAGAGACCGTCGGTGCCACACAGCTAAGATCAGCATGGAGCTGTGAGGCAGACTGGAGACTTCTACCACCATCTTTCTCTTTCCTGGCACCTACCTCTGGGACCAAAAATAACTGTGCTGGCACCAGTGGCTCACACCTGTAATTGTAGCTACTTAGGAGGCAGAGATCAGGAGGATCACAGTTCGAAGCCAGTCCAGACAAATAGTTCAAGAGACAATATCTTGAAAAAATTCATCACATAAAAGGGCTGATGGAGTGGCTCAAGGTGTAGACCCTGAGTTCAAACCCTGGTGCTGAAAAATATTTGACATTTGTGTAAACTGTAGCTCTTGCCAGCCTTCCTCCTCCATTGTCCTACCAGGAAGGCCACTGAGCCTCCCTCTGGAGCCCCCACTATCCCAGGGAACTCCACCTTGGCTCCTCGCCAGGGCCCTGCTGTCACTTCTCAGGTGTGACCAGCTATTAGACATTAGCTGCTGTACCCTTTCACTCTGGATTCTAGGGTGTGACTGGGAGCTGGGTCGGTGACTCTCATCTGTTAAAGCAAAGATAGGACAAGGGCAGCCCCCAAGAAGGGCTGAGGTGTTGCTCCATGCAGCCTCCCTCTTCCAGTCGCCCTAAGCTAGGGGTTGACCCTGCCTAGGCCCCTCAGGCTTCAAGGTCTTCCAGTGCAATTCTACAGGACCAGAGTCCTGTCCATGGCTTGACAAACTGGCTTTTACCACCTGTCTGGCTCAGGCTCAGGCTCAGGTTCCCTGGGCTTCCTATGGTGGGCAAGCTGGAAATGAGAGGAGAGGCTGCTGGAGCAAGGTGGGCCCAGGAATTGGACAGTGCCCACAGGAGGGTGTGGCTCCATCTGTCACACAGTGGCCCCTTGCCTTGGCAGCTTAGAGCATGGCACAAACAGACCCAAGCCCCAGATGTAGCTCATGTGGTTAAGCAACCTAACCTCTCCTGTCCCTTAACTGATGAAATGAGAGGTCAGTGTATCACTATGAGGATGAGTTGTGCACAGGCTCAGCACAGTGCATGACATAGGGGAGGTACTATTTTTGTGTTTATGCATCTTTTATATCCTTGTCATAAAGGGGAAATATGAGAACTCTGGTTTTGTTTTTAGAAAGGATCTCACTGTGAAGCCCAGGCTGGCCTTGAACTCGTGATCCTCTTGCCTCAGCCTCCCCAGTGCTGGGATTGCAGATGTGTACCACCACACCCAGATTTATGAAAGCTTTTCAAAACATAAAAACAGTGCTATGCAAATTAGAAGGAGTGCCATTATTATCCTCCTGTGTTCAGCTGTGCTGGCCACCCATCTCAGAGGTCAGGTCTGAGTGGGCCTGTGGCACGGAAAGTTAGGGTGCAGGTGGTATCTGGAGCATGTGCCAGCACCCCCAGCACCTTCCACAAAACCACTGTTCCCAAAGTCTTTACTAATAGATTGAAAATAGGGTTTCTTGCTAAGAGAAATTGAGAAATGCTAAGTTAAGAGGACTCTACTGTGAGATCTCGCAGATTTTTAATGTGCTTAAAAAATGGTTTTTTTTGTGGTACTGGGTCTTGAACTCAGGGCCTACACCTTGAGCCACTCCACCAGCCCTTTTCTGTGCTGGATTTTTTTGAGATAGGGTCTCATGATCTGTTTGCCCGGGCTGGCTTCATGCTGTGATCCTCTTGATCTCTGCCTCCTAAGTAGCTAGGATGACAGGCAGGAGCCACTGGTGCCCAGCTTTTTAAAAATTATTAATGAGCCAGGTGTGGTGGTGAATGCCTGTAATCCCAGACCTTGGGAAGCTGAGGCAGGAGATTCATGTGTTCTAGGCCAGCCAGTGCTACATAGCCATACCCTGTTTCCAAACACAACATTAAGTGAGGAGGTGTCATTTTTATGAGTAAATATGTCAGCCTTTATTAGATACAGTTGTGAGTCAGCTTTTTGATACTGTAACAAATTCTTTAGAGTAATCAAAAGAGGAAGCTTTTGTACTGGAGGTGTGGCTCAGGGTAGAGTACTGTCCTCGGTTCAATCCCTAGCACAGGAAAGGAAGGGAAAAAAGGAAAAAAGAACAAAGAGAAAGATTTATTTCAGCACAGTTTTGGAGGTCTCAGTTCATGATCAATTGTTGCTTTGGGCCTATGGTGGCACATCATGGCAGAGCACATGGTGGTGACCTGTTTATTTCATGGCTGGTTGTAAAGAGAGAGAAAGAGAAAGGGGCTCCAACAGCTCCTCCAAGGACAGCCTGCCCAAGGGGAAGACCTCCCACTAGACCCCTCTTCTGTTTTTTTTTTTTCTTTGCGGTACTGGGGCTTGAACTCAGGGCTTACACCTTGAGCTACTCCACTGGCTCTTTTTTGTGAAGGGTTTTATCGATATAGGGTCTGTTTGGGATAGGGTCTTGAGAACTGTTTGCCTGGGCTGGCTTTGAACTGTGATCCTCCTTATCTCTGCCTCCTGAGTAGCTAGGATTACAGGTATGAGTCACTGGCACCCGGCTAAGAGACCATGCCTTTGAGGGATATCTAAGATCATAAACCTCTGGCAGAGTGCTTGTGTAGCATGTGAGAGGCCCTGGTTTTTATCCTCAGCACGGAAGAAAGAAAAAAAAAAAGATCCAAGCTATAGCAGTCAGGACAACAGCATTCATTGCCTTGCCTCCGCTCATTTTCCTCTGACTGGAGATATTCTGTTATATTAGATTGAAGCTAATACTTAGCTGAGTTGTCTGTCTTTTCTAATCAATTTTTTTGGGCCAAGAATTAGACAGAGTCCTCTTCTGTCACCTCAAAGCTGCATGAGCCTTCCTGGTCCATCTTCCCCCAGTTAGGGAACCACTGATCTGCTCTCTTTCTCTGTGGATTGGGTTCATACTACTTAGAGAGTCATACTAATGGTGCCACACAGCACTAGTGTGTGTGATTCAGGCATGAGCTTGTCCCTCTTTACTGCTCCATAGTGTTCCTCTGTGAGCATGTGCCATGGTTGTTTATTCCCACACAAAGAATGTTTGAGTGGCACTAGGTTAGGGTATTGTGAGCACTCCAGCACAAGCCTTGTGTGGATATGTCTTTTCACTTCCTTTGGTTAGATTCTGAAGAGGAGGAATCCTGTGGTGTTTTCCAAACTAGCTGTGCTCTTTGGGGAACACCTTTTTAATGGTGGTCTTATTCTGGTTGTACCATGGTGTGTTCCCTGAGCAGAGAGTTGGCTATCTCTGAGTCACAATTATTAACTGTCTGTGTGCTCTCCTCCCCTCCTGCTGTTGGGTCTGGTATTGGTTCCTCTCCTTAGCCTGTCCTTCGTGCTCTGTCCCAGTGCCCCTGTGGCTTGATGCCCTACCCTAGTGACCATCCTGCACTGCTGTCCTACAGATGGTGCAGTCACTGGGCTTTGCCATCTATCGTGCACTGGACTGGGGGCTGGATGAGAGTGAGGAGCGTGAACTCAGCCCACAGCTGGAGCGGCTCATTGACCTCATGGCCAACAGCGACTGTGACGACAGCAGCTGCGGAGCAGCAGATGAAGGCTATGGGGGTCCAGAGGAGGAGGAGGAGGCTGAAGGCAGCCCCCGTGCTGTGCGCACCTTCACCCAGGCCATGCGACTGTGTGCAGCACGCCTGACGGACCCCCATGGCGCACAAGCCCATTACCAGGCTGTGTGCCGTGCGCTCTTTGTGGAGACACTGGAGCTGCGGGCCTTCCTGGCCCGGGTCCGAGAGGCCAAGGAGGTAAGTGGTAGACACAGGCAGTGCCGAGGTGGGGGAAGAAGAGGAGGGGACAGTACGGGGTGGGCCTCGTCTGCTGAAGGGCCTGTGAGCTCAGATATAGTCCATCCTCAGTCCAAATCAGTGTGGCTCTGACTGCACTGGATGTCCATAACTTGTTCTTCCCGCTTGGTGCTGGGCACTGTCCTCAAAGCCTCGTATGTTTTAACCTAACCCTCAGGTCTTCTTTTTACCAAAGTTTCAGAGCAGGGATCTGAGACCCAGGGAGTTAGGAAGTAGCTCCCTGCCTCTGTGCCCCACCTCATCACACCTCTTACCTCTAAGTCATTAGAGTGATGCTATTTTTACCCCAAAGTGGGAAGTTTGCCTGCTGCCTCCTAGCTAGCCTCTCCAGGCCCCAGTTCCTTTTGAAAATGTGAAGCTAAAGACAGATAGTGCCTGCTGCTCAGAAGTACCCAGACGGGTCCACTTGCTTGGAGCTTCATGTATGGTGGGCAGTTCAGTGATAGAACCGTTTGGGGCCTTTGCTATGCCTACCATAGTCCAATCTTGGTCTTCCTTGAGCCATCTGATATCCTCCCCCATTTCACAAACAGCAGATGCAGTCTGAGAGTCTGGGTCCCTTGTCTGAAGTCACAGGGCCAGAATAGGGAGGCTTGGAGTCTCCCCTGTTTCCCAAGCTAGAGTTCTCTTGGGCTGTACTGCCTTCCTGGACCCAGAGTTAGGAGATGGTTTCTCCTCTTTTGACTCTCGTCCCTTGCCTGGAGGAATTGCTACTGTTGAAAGGAGCCACTGTGAAGTGGGATCTCCTGTATGTAGGGTCTTTGTCTCCCATCAGCATTTCAGATGAAGAAAGGGGAACTTGAAAGAATTAGGAGGTTGCTTTATTCTCTCTTGTTCATGCGGAAGAAGGATTTTCTGTTTGTATTGTTTCTTTGGGGTGCTGGGGATCAAACCAGGGCCTTGCACATGCCAAGCAAGCACTCTGCCACTAAGCCACACCTCCAGCCCCCATGAGTTTTTTGTTTTGGGTCTGTTTTGTACTGGGGATTGAACGCAGAAGGTGTTTTTGAAACTAATTGATGCTGGTTCCTGATTCCCCCCTGACCCCTTCTGGTACTGTGTCTCTCTTTTCTTCTAACCTAGAAAGATTATGGCTAGCTTCCCCACCCCTCAGAGCCTGTGCAAGCTCACAGTCTTATCTGACCAATGGGCTAGGGACACGGCTTGAGCCCTTTGGTCCTTACCTGCAGGCATCATGTGCCAAGACTGGGAGGCATGTACCAAGACCTGGCCACTCCCAATATCCAGTGCTCCATCCTACCTTCCCTCCCAGCTCTTTCTTGTCATCTGGGAGGCACACTTCCAGTTAGCAGATGGTCTGCGTGCTTTTGTCCTTCTTTGAACTCAGTCTGTGTTCTGTTACTTAGATCAATTCCTTGTGATCTCACTTTAGCATGAGCACACAGCTCTGCACTTCAAGCCATTTACCCAGGAGAAGTTCAGGGAATTGGTGGTAGGGGCACAGAGAGAAGGGTCTCTGGGGCAGGGATACAGCTGGACTAATCTGAGCTGATATTTTGGACAGAAACAGCCTGCTCAGGGACAAGTGTACCATTCCAGGTAGGACAGGAGAACCACCTTCTGTGCCCTTTGCCCCAGGAGCTGGCCAGGTCCACACAAGCACAATTATTAGGATTACACACTTTGTTCTGTTGGCAACGTTTTCTACAGCGTCTCAGAGGAGTTTGGAGAGTAGCTTAGGGTGAAAGCCCAGGTAACCAGTTTTGTCTTTAGGGAATAGCTGTATGCTAAAGAGGAGAAGCTTCTCCCGGTGTGGGGAAGTTAATAAGAGCAAAAGCCCCAGGCTGCCACTGAGATCCAGAGTAGTGAATGCAGTGTCTTTCCTCAAGTCCTCAGTTACCTAACAGTCCCTGACATCCTTCCTGGACCCTTAGCACAACGTCGACACTTTCTCTGGCTCCTGAAGCACACACCTGGGACTGTCTCCCAGATCCTGATGGTAATGTTATCCTGTCACCCACCTACCCACCATCCAGTCTACCCATGTTTGGGCTGACTAGCACATGTCACATTGTACTGGGTCCCAGACTTACGCAAAGCTGCAGCTGAGTGAGCAGATGCAGCCTCTGAAAGGCTAGGTCCTTTGGGACTTCCAGCTAGTGTCGTCTTAGAGAAGCAGTGTGGATGCCCAAGAGAATGGATGGGTACAAGGCCTAGCCAGGGTGTCCTTGAGGAGGTGCTGTGAGAACTGAGATCTAGAGGGCGAAGGGGAGCTCTTGTACAGATAGGGATTTCTACATCTGTCTGTGCCACCTATGGAGGACACAGTGCCTCCTGGGGCATGTGGATCAGATGGGAGAAGGTGACATGGGGGCTCCAGGCTCTCACTGGTCCCTACCCAGGAGAGGCTGCCAGAGCCAAGATAGACAAGGGCCCTATGTGGTTCCAAGGTGATGGTGTGGTTTCCCCAGGTCTTCCCCAGCCCCAAAGCCTGGGCCCCAAAGCCAGCTTTTCAGCCAATTGAGTGATAGCTGGGTGGTGAGGAAGCGTCCCATGCTGGGCAGGGCTGTCAGGACCGCACCTTGTGTCTGCCACTCTCCTACCTTCTGGACTAACCAACATGTGGTCCTAGATGCTGCAGAAGCTGGGGGAGGATGAGCCGCGGGTGGAGAAGCCACTGGCTGAGCTTGACAACCTGGGACACACGGACTGGGTAAGACACGGGCCCCTCCTGACCTCAGATGCAGAAAGGTCTGTGTTGAGAGGGCCCAGGAGCCAGGGCTGATACCATTTCTGTTTCTGTGCCAGGCCCGGCTGTGGGTCCAGCTCATGCGGGAGCTACGCCATGGGGTGAAGCTAAAGAAGGTGCAGGAGCAAGAGTTCAACCCCCTGCCCACTGAGTTCCAGCTCACCCCCTTCGAGATGCTGATGCAGGACATCCGTGCCAGGAACTACAAGCTGCGTAAGGTCATGGTAAGTTGGCCGGGCATCCCTGGGCCCTGTTCTTTTGCTGGGTACTGAGCCTAGTACTGCTCTGTAGAATATGCATAAGGCAGATTTGGCCCCCAATTCCCATAACTCAAGGTTGTGTTGAGATCACAATGTGACAAGGGTGGGGAAAGGGAAGGGAGGGAGGATCAGGATGCCCCTAGCAAGAGGGGACCCTAAGAGCCAGAGCTGGGGCATAGCTCAAGTGGTAGAGTGCTTGCTTAGCAGGAACAAAGACCTGGGTTCAATCCCCAGTACTGCAAAGAAAAAGAAAAGAGTCAACTGCAGTATTTTTCCATTTATATAGCTCTTACATGTCCTGTATCACTTTTAGAATTTTAAGTGAACAAGTTCATTTCATTCTTATGACAACTTTATGAGGTGTGTGTCTGCTACCAATCCCATTTTCTGAAGACTCTGAGGTACAGGAAGTTCAGGCAGTAAGGTTAGGGGTGTCATCAGGCCTTGGATGCTGCAGCCACCATTGGGTGCAGACCATGTATCTGCTGTGCACCTGTCCAAGAGGCAGCTGGGTCCCAGGGAGCAGAAGCCTTGAGAGGGAGGATGGACATGAAGAGCAGGGGGTGCTCAGTGTTGTATGAACCTCTTCCAGTCACCCAGGCACTAGCACATGACCCCTGCAGGCTCTCAGACTGGCCCAGCTCTTAGCTCAAGCTGCCCTCCCATCCTCCTGGCAGGTTGATGGGGACATCCCTCCCAGGGTGAAGAAGGATGCACATGAGCTCATTCTGGACTTCATCCGTTCCCGACCTCCACTGAAGCAGGTACTGGCTCTGAACCTCTTCTTCAGGGCATCCTGGAGCCTGATGCTGACCCACACCAGGTGCAGTGCACAGAAACAGTGCCCCCCTGCCCCGCTCCAGGTTGTGCTTCTCTCTGGAGAGCTGACTCCTCCAGCATCTCCCTACTTCAGCATGGGCCCATGTCACCACCCACCTGAACTGCCCACCTTATGCACCATCTTCTTTGCAGGTCTCTGAGAGACAACTTCGCCCATTACCACAGAAGCAGAGGACCCTGCATGAGAAGATCTTAGAGGAAATCAAACAGGAGCGGAGGCTGCGTCCGGTGGGAGGCCAGCACTTGGGTGCCCGTGGTAAGCAAGGAGAGAACATGACAAGAGAGAAGAGCCCCCCCCCCACACACACACCTCAAGGATCAGTCTACAAATCAGGAATTGGTGTCAGCTCCAAGAGGTCCTGCATGAGTTTTGATTTTTGCACTGTAGACTTGGGGAGTTCTGACAGCCTTTGAAGTCAGCGAGAGGTACATAAGGAGGAAATGATCCTGTACTCCAGGGTTTGACCTGACTTGACCGTGACTGGAGCCTGATGATGTTCTGTGGCCAACCTGGGAGGTGTCTTAGCACATCTCTGCCTCCCAGAGAGGCAGGCTATGGTCCCTCCTGCCTGTAGCTGGAAGGCTGGGCATTCTTCTTGAAAAGAACTGTTGATCGCCTCCACCCCACACCAGGTGTTATTTTAATGTAATAATGTAAACACCAGGTTTACATTATTGCAATGGCATGATGAATTTCAACATTTAAGAGTAAAATAAAATAAAAGCAAAGTTACTAGGTGGGTGAAAGCCAGGCATTTATTCAAATCTTCCTTGTAAAATAGGGACCTTAAGTTCTGCTCCTACCTTGGATGGGCCTCTGTAAGGCTAGGTGGTTCCACTTTTTAATCTGCAGTTTTTCACTTACAAATGGTTGACCAACCCACAGTTTCCCCTCTGGTGGGGAATTAAGCTAGTGGAGCATGTGAAGCTGTCCCCTCTGTTCACTGTCCTGTCCTGTCCCGGCTACCTGCCTCCAGGGTTTGGCTCTCTGCCCTGTATCCTCAACGCCTGCTCCGGGGATGTCAAGTCCACTTCCTGCATCAACCTGTCTGTTACGGATGCCGGGAGCAGCAGCCAGCGTCCAAGGCCCCGTGTTCTGCTTAAAGCCCCTACCTTAGCAGAGATGGAGGAGATGAACACATCTGAGGTCAGAGCCCAAAGAGATCTCTGAAGAGATCACACAGAACCTGTGGGGAAGTGAGAAGGGCTGAGTAGGACCAAGGAGCAGAAGCTGCAGTAGTCAGATGAGTGTGCATTACCTGTCTAGGGCTGCTGGCTAATAGTAGGCAGGTGGGACCAGTTCTTCATCTTGGAAGCTCAGAAGAGGCCTTGAGACACCTCTTCCCATAGCCAAAAAAAAAAAAGTCTGAGAATGGAAATGACCCATCACCCACATTGTGACAGGAAGTTGGCAGCCCTCTATGACATGAGAAACTAGTCCCGTTGTGGAGCCCTGTGCTCATCATTGTCCTGTGAGCACTACCCTCCTTTCCCAAGAGGAGGGGCATGGCCTCAGTACTGGCCATCTTGGTGGGATCAGCCTCCTGAAGGAGGTATGTCCTCCCCAGGATGTCCTGGAAGGCATCTGGGAAGGGACTGGTCATTGAGGGGCTTGTCATGAAATGTCCAGAAGACAGGAGGGCTGGAGGTGGGTGGAGGATAGCCCACAGTCTTAGCAGCACCCATAGTCTACCACCTTGCTCCAGAGATGGGCAGGAGAGCTGGGCACAGTGGTCAGTCAAGGCTATGTCTGTTATGTCTTCAGGAAGAAGAGTCTCCATGTGGGGAGGTGACGCTGAAGCGGGATCGCTCTTTTTCGGAACATGACCTGGCCCTGCTCCAGAGCGAGGTGGTGTCTGGCCTGCAGCCGGCCTCTCAGCCCCCGGGAGGGATGGAGCCACCCCGGCCCCGAGCAGGCAGCGTGCACACCTGGAGGCCCAGCACTCGAGACCAGGGCAAGAGCCGCCTCTCCTTCCCAGCCCACCCTTCCCTCAGATCCGACCCACCGAATGATCTTCTGGCCTCAGTCCCAGCTCTTTCTGAGCAGGAAGCACCCCAGGTGCTTCAGCTCCTACCTACAGGAAGGGTGCTCAGTCTCTCACCATTTCCGCTTGAGAGCTTTTTTTTATTAAATAAGCAGTCTATGTTCATTGCAAAGCATGTTCTAAAGAACTTAAACCCCCATGATTCTATTACCTGGAGATAATTATTAAAATACTGAAATATTTTAGTGTTAAGAAGCCAAGCCACCTGGGTGCTGGTGGCTCACACCTGTAATCCTAGCTATTTGGGAGGCTGAGATTGGGAGGACTGTGGTTAGAGGCCAGCTCAAGAAAGTAGTTTGTGAGACTCCATCTCCAAAATAACCAGAGCAAAATGGACTGCATGGACACTCACTGTCCACTTGGCACAACTGTACCCCTGCCAGGTGGTCCTCATGGGTCTGTGTTCTTCCTCCAGTTTCCTGTCCTGTGAGTATCCAGTCCTGGACTGACCCCAGCTCTCCCCCACTCAGCAGACTAAGCTCACTGGACAGACCAGAGGCTTCTCCACCAGACACCAGACACCTGTGGCTGGTGAGTGACAGCACAGGTTATCTTGGTGGTGGTGTCTGGGTTTGGCTTTGTCCTAGGAAGCAGGTTGAGCCCTAATATCTGGGGTGGTTGGTCTTTGCTGCCATCTGCTGGGGTGCATTGATTCTACTGTCCAAAATCAAAGAGCAGCTTTGCAAGGGACTTGCTGAGGGGGAGGGTGGCACAGCAGAGTCAGTCTATGCAGAGGGTCCCTAGAGCTCCTGGGGAGAGCACACATAGCGGGGGCTGGAGGAGAGCTCAGCTGTGAATGCCTCCAGAGGGTGAGGGGAGATTTGAGCCCTCTGGGTGGTTTTGATCAGCCCAAGGTGTGTGTTTGCTTGTGGGAACACCTTGAAAAAAACTGAGGGAAAGGAGAAGGAGAGCCTTGGTCAGCAAGGGCTAGGGCAGGCTCCAGAGGCCGTAGGTCTGGAGAACTTGCTGCAGCAACAGGGCCTCCTTGAAGAAGAACTGGGAGAATTCCTGGCCCCTGGGAGGTAGCAAACTGATGCACGTGCTTTAAGAAGTTGCCAGAGTATTTGGACTGAGGCCAGGAAGATGTGGGGTCCTCAGGCAAGGATGACCTTGCCTAAAAGGGCTTGCCCCTGGAGTTGAGTGAGCAAGACTCTACTCCCCAGGAGTTCAGCCATCCTGTGGAAAGCCTGGCCTTGACCGTGGAGGAGGTGGTGGATGTGCGTCGTGTACTGGTGAAGGCTGAGATGGAGAAGTTTGTCCAGGACAAGGAGCTCTTCAGCAGCCTGAAGAGGGGGAAGGTGAGGTGCCTGGAAAGCTTTTTTCACCACCCTGAGTTGGGATATAGGAATGTGGGCCAGGCCAGGGTCTCAGGTGCTTGCTCACAGGTCTGGTAGAAGCCCTGAGGGGAGCTGGTGAGGACTGGGCTGGACCCCAGTGGATTTTGAACAAAGTCAGGCTCTAACTAGACCTTTCCTTGCAGATTTGCTGCTGCTGCCGAGCCAAGTTCCCACTGTTCTCCTGGCCACCCACCTGTCTCTTCTGCAAGAGGTGAGACTTCACTAAGCACTCTGGCTACAAACTAATAAGGGAGAGGAAGTAAGAGGTTATAAGAATGTTCTGGCATGCATCACCACCATCATTGTGGCTCTTGAGTCTTTGAGATGTTAGTGTGAATGAGGAATGCAAAATTTTTTTAATACCTGTTATGTTATAAACTTGTAGGAAATCAGTTTCTGCAACTTGGACTCCTCCTTGGTTCACACAAAGTGGGCATCTCTAGGTAGAGCAGACAGGAGCTTCAGTTGAACCCAGGCACCTTTCTCTTTGATTTCCTTCTTTTCTGATCATTTCCCTTCATACATTTTAGGAAGCTGCCTTGGCTTTCAGAATGCTTGATATGCCTGCTTGGCGCTATGCATGTTAATTCATGCATAGTAGAATTAACTATGCAAGAACCTTACCTTATCTTGTTTACAATGCCAGTGATACACTGGTAATACTGTAGACTCATCCAGTTTGCTGTGGTAACATCTGTGGGGCATTCCTTTTTAATGGTGCCCATCCCTTGCTGTTTGCAGTAGCACCCTTCTTGTAGATTTGTAGCCAAAGGAACAATTCTGTGCTTTTTAAAATTTTTGTTTTTTGAGACAGGATCTAGCTACAGAGCCCTGGCTGGCCTTGAACCTGTGATCCTCCTGCCTCAGCCTCTTATGTACTAGGGTTACAAGTGTGTACCATCAACCCTACCAATTCCATGTTTTTGTTGTTGTTGTTTTTGGTTTTTTGATACAAGGTCTTGCTATGTAACCCAGGCTTACTTCAAACTCCAAACTCTCCATCCTTCTGCCTGAGCTTCTTTGTTTTTGGTGGGACTGGGATTGTAACTGAGGTCTTTCAGCTTGGAATGCAGGCTTTCTACCACTTGAGTAGAGAGTCCATTTTGCTCTGGTTATTTTGGAGTTAAGGGGTCTCACGAACTATTTCCCTTGGCTGGCCTCGGACCTCATCCTCTGGATCTCAGCCTCCCAAGTAGCTAGGACTACAGGCGTAAGCCACCAGCACTAGGCATGCCAAAGCCTCTTGAATAGCTGGGATTATAAGCATGAGCCACCATGCCAAGCTTAAATTAATTTAAATTTAAATAGTTAAGGAACACCCACTTTTGGCCAAGATGGGGTAATGGCCACCTTCCAGCTGAAACAGCACAAAACAAATAAACAAACAAATGAACGATATGAAACAATGGTTTTTAAGACACTGGACATCAGCCAACTGGAAAAAATGAAGGAGCCCTCTGTCAGGCTGAAGAGTTTCTCCTTATCTGTGTGAGACAGGGTCTCCCCTAATACAGGAGACCAGGGCAACTGGAGCTCACAGGGCAGGGTCAGGATAGGAGACAGCAGCACAAAGAGCCCAGAGACCTGCCTCAGAGATGTCCCCTAAGAGTTTAGCAGATATGTGCAAGGAGAGTCTTAGAGCTAGGAAAACAACCAACCCCAAGCAGGAATTGGCATGCGCTGGTCAAATCTGGCTCCCTGGCTGTTGTGCTTTGAGAAAGCTTTATTACAGCACATCATTTACTTGGTATTCTTTTAGCCACACCCAAAACATTTGCTATCTTGCCTCTTACAGAAAAAGTTGATTTACTCCTGTCCTACAGATTTAAGGAAACAGTGGTCACGGCCAGGAATTGACCTGTTTCCACTAGCCATAGTAAAAAATGCCACAATTCACAGGGCACTAAGTGGAAAACTCAGGAAGGTCTTGTCTCACTAGAGTAGAATAAATAGCCCTAGGCTGAGCATTGTCTAGGCCAGAGTGACAAATCATAAAGGACAGAAGGATTTCCTAGTATCTTAACTATTTCTCAGAACAAAGCTCAAGAATAGAAACAGAGGGCTGTTGGATTGGCTCAAGTGGTAGAGTGCCTGCCTAGCAAGTGTGAGGCCCTGAGTTAAAACCCCAGTACCATAATAAAATAAATAGGAACAGAAAAATTAATAGTACCCAGCATGAAAAAAAAAGCCTGGCATCTAATCAAAGATTACCAGGCATACAAAACAAAACAGGGCTGGGGATGTGGCTTAGTGAAAAAGTGCTTGCATAGTATTCACAAGCCCTGGGTTTGAGCCCCAGCACCACCAAAAAACAAAATTGCCCCAAAAACAACAACCAAAAAACCGCCAGAATTAATAACAACCTATTGTGTGGATTTTAGCATATGTATAAGTAAAATATATTATAACTGTAGCATTAAAGGCTAAGGAGAGGGGAAACTGCAAGTATACTGTTGTAAGATTTTTATTCTCTACATTAAATTGTATAATAAATACCTAATGGTAGATTGTGGTAAGTCAAAGATGCATACTATGAACCCTAAAGCAACCACTAAAATAAGGCAAAGAGATAAAATGGAATCATTAAAAATACTCTTTTTAGCTGGGCATGGAGGTACCTGTAATCCCAGTGCTAGGGAGGCTGACACAGGAGGGTCTCAGGTTTGAGGCTACACAGTGAGACCATATCTGCTGGGAATACCCGTAATCCCAGCTACTCAGGAGGCAGAGATCAGGAGAATTGTGGTTCGAAGCCAGTCTGGGCAAATAGTTCATGAGACCCTATCTCGAAAGACCCTTTACAAAAAAAGGGCTGGTGGAGTGGCTCAAGGTGAAGGCCCTGAATTCAAGCCCCAGTACTGCAAAAAAACGAAAAAAAACACCTAAAAGAAACCAAAGAGCAAGATGATAGACTTAAGCACAATTCTGTGAATTATCATATTACTGTAAATGGTCTAAACAACCCAATTAAAAGGTAGCTTCCTGCATTGAATAAAAAGAACAAGACCCAGCTTCCTGCTACCCACAAGTCATGTACTTTTAAGTATGAAGACACAAATGGGTCAGTAAAAGGATGGAAAAAGTTATAGCACACTAACACTAGTCCAATAATAAAGCTAGATTTGATTTATTCAAAGTAGATCCCAGAGCAAAGAATATTACCAAAGACAATAATAAAGAGGAAATTATAACCTTAAATACTTTTGCACATAATAGCAGAGATTCAAAATACATGAAGCAGAGCTGAGAGAGTGGCTCCATGGTAGAGTACCTGCCTAGCAAGCACAAGGCCCTGAGTTCAAACTCCAGTACCATCCAAGCACCAGTGGCTCACACCTGTAATCCTGCCTACTTGGGAGGATAAAATTGGGAGGATCTCCATTCGAGGCCAGCGCAGGCATAGTTTGAGAAACCCCATCTCCAAAATAACCAAAGCAAAATGGACTGGAGCTGTGGCTCAAGAGGTAGAGCATCTGCTTTGTGAGTGAGAAGCTCTGAGTTCAAACCCTAGACCCACCAAAACCAAAAAAAACAAAACCCCAGTACCATCAAATAAATAAATAAAAATAAATACTCAAAATACATGAAGCAAAAAATGCTAGAATTGCAAAGGGAAATGAATCCATATTTGTAATTAGTGATTTCAATATTTTTCTCTTGACAAGTGATAAAACTGGTAAACAGAGAAAACCCAAGGAAATAGATTTGAACAATGCTGTCCACCAACTTGATCCGATTGACATGTATGGAGTTACCTACCCAACAACAGCTGAATGTATGTTTCTCTCAAGTGCACATAGAACATTCACCAGGTTGATATTCAGAGCTGCAAAATGAGTCTCCATAAATTTATAAGTATTCAATCATACAAAGTATGTTCCCTGGCCACAATGTAATAAAATTGAATTAATCCAAGAGTTGGTTGTTGCCAGTGCTATTTGCAGTCCTAGGAATTGAACTTGTGCCTTGTGCATGCTAAGCATGAGCTCTAGCGCTGAGTCACACCCCCAGCCCTGATCCAGGAAAATTAATCACAGGACATCCATGACAAAGAACATTGTCCACTGTGTAGAAAATGAGTTTGGACAACGTTTACTAATGTAGTGTGTCTGCGTAGAGTACTGTGTGTAGTAGTTCATCTCATTGTAAAATGTTACATATATTTTCTTTACATGTGCCTAGAACAGCCTGGACATTGGTAGCTATATTGCTTCAGAGGCCATCTCTGTAGATAGGCTAAATTGTAATTCTAAATTTTAGTTTGAATTTTTTTTTTGGGGGGGGTACTGGGGTTTGAACTCAGGGCCTCACTCTTGCTAGGCAGGTGTTCTATCACTTGAACCACTCCACCAGACCTAGTTTGAATTTTTACAAGAAGACATTTACTTTTGAAATTGGGTCTGGGGCTGGAGACATGTCTCAAGCAGTAGAGTGCCTGCCTACAAGTATGAAGCCCTGAGTTCAAAACCCATACCACAAAAAAAAAAGAAAGAAAAAGAATAAAAAAAATTGGGTATGGGAATAAAAAATACTAGTTGCTGCTTAAAATTGAGTGTCTCAAGTGAGGCCCTTCTACTTAGGGGCAGAGGTGAATGAGGTGAAATGAGGAGGAAGGACTCTGGAATAAAATGAAAGTGAAGTACTAAAGTAACCAGGGATCAGGCAGAAGGCAAGGATGGTGGACCAGGATGCTAGGTGGGACATGTTGGCCAGGAGGAGGCCATTGTCCCTCCCTGGGCCTCTTCCTCACTGATGATGCTCTTCTTCCATTCCCTTCCAGAGCCGTCTGCACTTCCTGTAGCATAAAGGTGAGGATCTCGGGATCTTCAGGGTCTCAGAGAAGTGGGAGTGGGGCACTCTGTTATTTCCTGTTGGATGTGTTAGAAATCCCGCCCTTACCAAACATATCATCTGTCATCCTTCCTCCAGGAAGAGTTCTCTCCACACTTTCCAAGACTATGCAGTTTTTGTTATTATTTTTTTTGCAGCATGGGGGTTTGAACTCAGGGCCTTATACTTGCTAGATAGGTGCTCTAACCACTTGAGTCATTCCACCAGCCTGTGTTGAATATTTTCAAGATAGGGTCTCACAAACTATTTGCCCAGGCTGTCCTTGAACAGCAATTCTTCTGGTCTCTGCCTCTGGAGTAGCCAGGATTATAGATGTGAGCCACTGGTGCCCAGCTTTATTTTATGAGATAGGATTTCACTATGTAGCCCAGGCTGGCCTCAAATTTGCAATCCTCTTGCCTCAGTCTCCTGAGTACTGGGACCATAGGTGTGTACCACCATACCTGACTTATGACTTTTCACAAAATTTTCCAGTGTGGGGGATCAAACCCAGGACTTTGAACTTGATCTTAGCCAAAAGGCTGAGAAGCGATGGCTTTGAACATACTAGGCAAATGCTCTACCACTAAGCTGTCTATATCCTAAGTCCTTAAGACTGTGCAGTTTTTAAAGACCCTTGTAGATAGTCTTTTGCTAAAAAAGTTTTTTAAGCTGGGCATGGTGGGGCATGCCTGTCATCCCAGCACTTGGGAGGCTGAGACAGGAGGATTGTGAGTTCGAGGCCAGCCTGGGACACATAGTAACACCCTATCTCAAAAAAACAAAGCAAAAAAATTTTAAGCATTCTGTGTGAGTAGGCTGGTCCCAAGAAGCCCTTACTCCCTCTTTCAGTGTCCTCTTTCTGATATTGGAGTCTTTGCTGAGGCTCTGTGTTGCATTTGGTGCGTGCATTCACATTTACACCTGTAAACAGATAGTCTTGGAAGTGTGTTGCCCATCACACCTCAGCTCTGAACCTGTTTCAGACTTTTACCACTACTGTTTTCAAATCCTTCTTTAACTTACCCCTTGACCACAGGGACACTCCTTCCTCATCAGTGTTAACTACTGATCATGTGCAGGGCAGGATAGGAGGTCCTTTGTGGTATAAAAAGCACATTTCCTACCCCCTAAGAAGTTCCTGGCCAGATGGACAGAAAGCACGTTGGGGTATGACAAGGAAGGAGGCCCATGCCAGGTCCTCAGATGAGTATAGGGGTGTGTGACTGCTGGTATCTGGGCCACTAGGGCTGGCACATAGGTCCCAGAGGATGAGGAGGATGGGATATGCCCAGACCATCAGAGGTGTCTTATCCACACCTCCCCTGTGTTGCAGATGAAGATGCCTTCCAAGAAGTGTGCACACATCCCTGTCTACACGCTGGGCTTTGAGAGTCCTCAGAGGATATCCACTGCCAAAGCCACGCCAACACAGAGGAAAGATGCCTTCCAGTATGTTCCTTTGCTTTGTTGCTGGTGTCTGGTTGTGGCCAGGCATTGACAGCAACCTGAGAGTTGGGGTGATGCTTCAGCACTGTTTGTGAGGGTGCCCACCCAGGAAATGGAAATGCAAGGCAGTTGCTTTAGATGCAGGTCAGGTCTCTTTGGGAAGCTCTGGGAGGTGGAGTGATATAGAATTGAATGTGTGTGAGTGCTCGAGGAGCAGGACTCAAGTTCCTGCTGAGTATGCACTTTGTTGAGTGTGCTCATTCCCCAAATTCCTGTGGATGAGCCACGAAAAATGGGAGGGAAGCAGCAGGCAGCTTAGAGGGGTGGCTATGGATGTGAAAAATGGTGGAGTTTGGGATTCTAGAGTGGCAGGAGCAAGCCCTGTAGGGGATCTTGGCCTTTCCCTGACAGTCCTCTCCTGAACCACTCATCCTTCCTCAGATCCCTGCAAGGGCCACAGTGGAGGAGTGTGGAGGAGGAGTTCCCTCATATCTATGCTCATGGCTGTGTCCTGAAGGATGTCTGCAGTGATTGCACCAGTTTTGTGGCCGAGGTAGTGCGTTCCAGCCGCAAGAGTGTGGATGTCCTCAACGCCACTCCACGCCGAAGCCGCCAGACCCAGTCTCTCTATATCCCCAACACCAGGACTCTTGACTTCAAGTGACTGCCCAAGATGTCCAGGCCTCAGGGAGGCACTTAACCCAGGCTTGCCCCAGTCCTGGGGCACAGCTACCTGCCTACTGTCCTGGACTGAGCATGTACATATATACATATATAGATACATTTATATAATACATATAATATATATATACATATACCAGCCTATATATTTATATACATTGTCTCTAGCCCCACAGTTGATATGGGGACAGGCTCACTCCAGCACCCTTCCTCTCCCTTTCTGCTCAGGACTCCTTGGAAGGCAGAGAGGGAGGGCTGTACATACTAGATACTGGGACTGCTGGCATGGCTCCCCTGCCTGGAGCCCAGGTTCTCCACCCTAGGAGTGAATGCACAGCAGCCTCCTCTTTGAGTGGATGTCCAGACTGGGACAGGGTACCTTGGTTCCCAGGTACATCAGAGCATCCAGCCTGCCTCTGCTATTCCTCAGGGGGCTTATGCAACAGAGGTACCTGAGAAGCCTGAGTGGATGGGATTCTCTGGGGAGGCATCCCAGGCACCCCATGCCTCCATTTGGAAAGCCTGAGGCCAAGCTTGCTTTCTATGCCTTCCTGGTGCCCACACCTTGGCCATGGTGTCCCTCCTGGCCCACTGCACGCTGGTGCTGGCCTCCTTGCTTGCTCCTCACTGGCCCTGAGGGCCTGAATGCTAGGTGGTCCCAGAACAGGGGAAGCAACTTTGTAAACTCGGCACATGGGCACTCATGGCCTAATAAAGGTGGTCTCACAGTCTACTCTCTGGGGTGGACATTGAGCAGTTGTATGTTCTCCCAAGGTGAAGCTGGGCTTTGAGTGACCACCATTCTTCTGAGACCAGGATGGCCTCCCTGGAGCCATCACTGGAATGCCAATCCCAGATCTAGGTGCCCGAGCCTGCTTTTCTTACAAAGTTCTGGTTGGTTTCTCTGCCAAATTCTTGGCACTGGTCACCTTGGTTAGGGCTGCATGCAGAATAGCAGTTCAGCTGCTATCACCTGCTGTGGCTTCACCTGCTGACCTAGGGATTCTTTGGCCTCATTTCTCAGACCAAATGGGAGGTAACTTGCCTGGGGCTCACAGGGGGAATGGAGGCTCCAGGTGGGGCCTGTGCTAAGCAGCCTGCCTGCTCATATGCTCCCAGCAGGTCATTATCCCACTTACAGATGAGAAAAACTAAAGCTCAACAAGGTGAAGATCTTGGCATCTCATTTCGGAATATGTCAGGACCTCAACTGAAGCCTGTTGACTACAGGTTCCAATAAGGGATGGAGGAGGCCCCAAAGGGACAGATGGGCCTTGAGAAAGAATACTTTTATCAGCTGGAACCCAGGAATTTCAAATATACAAAATTAGAACAGCCAATAAAACCAGCCAGCTCCCAGGCATGGACTAATTTGTATCTCTTCACACTCATATTCTGCAGGATTTGTATACAGACTATCAAATTTAGAGGCAGTGATCTTAAATTTAACTTAAAAAAACTGGGAGGTCAGTAAAATTTAAACTGCCCAACAACAATAACAAAAAACAGCTTCCAGCACTTGTTTCAGCACTCTACCTGTCTTAGTACTTTTACTCCTGTTTTAAAATACGGGTATAAGGAGAGAGGGTCAGGAATTGCTGCTGTCACACAGCCAGCTATAAAAAAGCTCCTGTTAGCTGGGTGTTGATGGCTCACACCTGTAATCCTAGCTACTCAGGAGGCACAGACCAGAAGCATCACAGTTCAAAGCCAGCCTGGGTAAATAGTCTGTGAGATCCTATCTGGAAAAAAAACACAAAAAAGGGCTGGTGGAGTAGCTCAAGCGGTAAGAGCACCTGCCTAGCAAGTGTGAGGTCCTGAGTTCAAACCCCAATGCTACCAAAAAAAAACCCAAAACAACAAAAAATTCCTGTTGCCCGGTGTGGTGGTGCATACCTGTAGTCCTAGCTATTCAGGAGGTTGAGGCAGGAAGATCACTTGAGTCCTGGAGCTCTGGACTGTAGTATGCTATGCCTGTCAGGTGTCTGGATTAAGTTTGGCATCAATATAGTGACCTCCTGGGAGCAGGGGCCCACTAGGTTGCCTAAGGAGGTGTGAACCAGGCCAGAAACGGAGCAGGTCAAAACTCTCATGCTGATCAGTAATGGGATCACGCCTGTGAGTAGTCACTAGTCCAGTGACTTTAAAAAAAGGAAAAAAAAAAACTGTTTGTGTAGCACTGATGGGAAGCTGCTGGGGGTGAGAGGCGCAGTGGGGAGTGCTATTTCCTTTAGCCTGATTTACAGATTCGGCAACCACCTAGCACCAGTTCATACTCCCAATCATGGGACAACCTGGGTTCTGATCCACACAGAACATTTGGAAGGCTCATATGAAAACAAAAGCACATCCAGGCAGAGCCGAGGAATGCCTATGGGCCAGGCTGTGCAGTCCCACACAGAACAGCTTCCTGAGGCTATTCAGGCAGACGAGCTCCGAGGCAAAGTCAAGGAAAGCAGCTGGTACTTCTGTCTCCTTGCTGCCCTTGGGGTCATTGGGCTCTTCCCTCTCCCCAACCATGAGTACAGGAAGCTGAAACCAGCTTCATCTACCTGAGATCTTGGCAAATAGAGGTGGTTTAGAACCAACCTCATTGATGAGGACCAGGCCTTATCAGTTCAGGGAGAACCTCACATTTGTAGCTGGTTGTTTAGGAAGACCTATTCCAAGTTGTACCAGTTGTGTTTCTCACAGTGTACACAACTTCTCTCTCAGAGAGGCAAAGAAATTCCAGATTAAGACCTCTCATTTTCATCCATAGGTTGGGCAACAACTTGACTATTCACACAACTTGACCAAGGGGTGACACAGAAACTAGCCTGGTCCTAAAGTCAAAATAGACATGGGGATGGTGTGCTGAGTGGGGTAGGAGTGGCTGGGAGCAAGTAGGGCAGGTGGAGAGCTTGAGGCAGCAGCTATGTGTCAGCTACTGTGAAGTACCTTAAGATGCTAGCATGGGGATGAAAGTGTAGAGTGCCTGCCTAGCAAATCCCTGGGTTTAAACCCCAGTACCATCAGAAAAAAGAAAAAAAAAAAAGATGCTAGTCAGGTACAGGCAGAGCTGCTGACAGGCTAGCCATGCTCCAACTCTCCAGATTAAACACTGGGCGAGCTCCCAACCTAGCAGGGAACCCAGACTGGGAGGCAGACTGGGGTGGAGCTCAAGGACAGGAGCAGGTGTGTAGCAGAGATGAAGTCAATGGACCTGCCCCTGCTTCCTCCATTCTTGCCAGCTGCCAACCTCATTCGGACTCTGGATCTATCTGAATGCAAACTCAGGGTTTCTGGGCTACTTACTGAGTTCCAGTTTCTTCACCTGTAAAAGGAAGATAGTACTTTCCAAGAAGAAGAAAGAATTCCAGAATTCAGTACAGTGATTGGCCTCACTGCTTGGCTAGGGCCATTCATCCCCACACCCAAAGCTGCTGGATCCAATCCTAATACCAGCTCATCTTGCTCTTGCATTTGGACTTCTGCAGTCCCAAAAGCTTTTCACAAATATCACAACCAGGAGGGCTGGGGGCATGGCCCAAGTGGTAAAGTGCCTGCCTAGCAAGTGCAAAGCAGTGAGTTCAAACCCGGTATCACCCTCCCCCCAAAAAAGTTTAAAAATAATACAGCCAGGGGCCAGGTGCAGTGGCTCACTTCTATAATCCTAGCTACTTGGGCGGTGGAGATGGGAGGATCTTGGTTCCAGGCCAGCCCTGGTAAAAAGTGAGACTCCACTCCCATATTAACAAATAATCAGGGTGTGGTGATTCACTTCTGTAATTTCAGCTACTCAGGAAGTTTAGGAGGGGGCGGAGCGGGTGGTAAGGGAGGGGGTGGGGGCAGGGGGGAGAAATGAACCAAGCCTTGTATGCACATATGAATAATAAAAGAAAAATGAAAAAAAAAAAAAAAAAAGGAAGTTTAGGTTGAAGAATTGTGGTTTGTAGCCCATCCAGACAAAAAGCGCCAGACCCTACCTGAAAAATAACTAAAAAGCATAAAAAAGAGGGGGGAGGGCTGGAGGAGTGGCTCAAATGGTAGACGGGTTGCCTAGAAAGTGAAAGGCCCTAAATTCAAATCCCAATCTGAGGGGAAGGAAAAAAAAAATCACAGCCGGACCCAAATTTCATCTGTGGAGTGGGTCTTACTGGGGTTTGAAGTCAGCACCTCGTACTTGCTAGGCAGATGCTCTATCACTTGAGTCACTCTGCCAGCTAGGTCTGTACAGCTTTATTGTGGAAACCTCCTTAGTAGGTTATGATGCATGGTAAGGGCAGGACACTGATTCTCATACCTAGCATGTACAGGAGCATTATCTGCTGCGGTAGCAACAACAAAGAGCAAGCACCCGGGATCTACCCTTTCGGTTCGGTTCCGTGTATCTCGGGGGAGGAGAGATGTCCGGGAATCTGCAACTTTGAGAAGCTCCTGGGTTTAGGTTGTTTATTTCTATTAAGGAGAGCAGTGTTTCTTGGCAGCCTGCGAAGGGGCAGAGGAAGCTGGTAGGCCATGCAGGACTGAGTCCAGGACCCTCGACTTCTCGCTCATCTGTAGCTTCCGGACTATCACTTTGAACTCCGCTTCTTACCTGGCCCCAACTACAAGTGCCTCCTGCCCGGCCTCCGAGAACAGGGGTCTAGGTCATGGGCGTTGGTCGCTCTAAGCCTATATCATCCAGGTCATCCCTTCCCCGCACACCCCGAATCCAGGACCCTACACACCCGACCGCAACAGGGCAGCCAAGCTCTCGCGAGAACACGCTCAGAGACGCCCGCAGCTTCTTGCACGCTACCGCTGACGGAGAGGAAGTTCCGGGGAGCGCAGAGCGCAGGTGCGACACGCCAGCCTCGCGCCAGCGCGCCGTAAGTGCGCAGGCGCGCCGGCAGCTACCTTCTGCTTTCTCTCCAGACGTCAGGCCGTCGGGTCCTATGTCGCGCCGGGCCCTCCGAAGGCTGAGGGGGGAACAGCGCGGCCAGGAGCCCCTCGGGCCCGACGCCTTGCAGTTTGTCCTCCAGGATGACGATGACGCAGAAGAAGAAGGACCAAAACGAGGACCGGGTAGCGGGCGCTCTGGAGGCACAGGGAAGGAGGGCGTCCAAGTCAACAACCGGTTCGAGCTGGTGAGGAGCGGGGCGACCTGATTGTGGGGGGGAAATAGGTGCGGTCTGACGTCATGTCAGAGTGGTGTGGGCCTAAAGTTGGGTCCGGACTGCAGCGGAGTGGGCGTGGTCATGATGTCAGTGGTGGGGCGTGGTTAAGGGACTGCACTGCAGCGGGGAGGGCGGGGCGTGGCAAGGAGGTGGGGTAGAAGGTGGCCGTGGCCGGGCTCCAGGTGAGGGCTTGGCGCCTAGGGGTGGGGCTAAGTGGCGGCCGGAGGCGGTGTCGATAGGAGAGGCGGGGCCAGGGGGTGAGTGATGCTGTCTATGGCTGAATTGCATGGAGTGGGTGAGGCTAAAGAGCGATTTGGGGTGATGTCAAGGGGCTGGGTCCCCCTCCCCCACTGAGGGGAATGTGAGGCCATAACGTCGAGGGCTGGGCCTAAGAGGTTAGTGGGGGTGCTGTCAAGAGTCTTGAGTGATGGGACTGAGTTGCAGTAGAGGGAGTTGGGCTTAAGGTGTGGGCAAGATGGTGTCGAGGGGCCGGGTGTGGAACCATAGAGGGGAGGGAGGGTCCATAGAATCTGGAAGGAGGGGTTAAGGGCAAATAGGATGGTGTCAAGGGGCAGAGCCGTGGGTGGGGTGGGGTTAAATAGGATCAGGGCTGCTGTGAAGGGGCGGAGCGGTGGGGGTTGGGGGCAGAGCTGCAGTGGGTGGGCAGGGGATCCACGCCTGGGATTTGAGGGGTCTTTTTTTTTTTTTTTTTTTTTATGTGGTACTGGGGTTTGAACTCAAGGCCTACACCTTGAGCCACTCCACCAGCCCTTTTTTGTGAAGTTTTTTTGAGATAGGGTCTTGCGAACTATTTGCCCCGGCTGGCTTTGAACCGTGATCCTCCTGATCCCTGCATCCTGAGTGGCTAGAATTACAGGCCACTCAGCCACCGGCGCCCAGCCATATGATGGTTTTTTGGTTGGGAATAAATATAATGTTCCCGCTGATGAAGAAATACGGGTAAATGGAAGGTTGAGGACATTCAGGAGAAGTGAGAAAAATAACAAGTGATTGTGTGTGCAAATGGAAAGAAATGCTTATGTGAACCTCTTCTCCCCCCTCCCCCAAAATCACTCAGGTTAGGGGGCCTTATTCAGGGCTTGGTATTTCCCCTTCTTGTTTGCTTGGTCTGTGCTAGAGATTGAACCCAGGGCCTTGCTCATGCTAAGCGTGCTCTACCACTGAGGTATACCCCCAGCACCCTGTATTCTGGTTGTATATTAATATCACCAGCTCAGTCCTCCTTCCAGGTCTAGATTCAGCTCAGTGTCTCCCTTCTTAGATGTCTCCATGTATACAGATGCTAACTGACCTTATTGCTTTGGGCCTGGATTTGCTCTTCAGTCTTCCCTGTGTCTCTTAAGGCCTCTCATTCCTATTGTGAAGGCCAGCACTTGGCAAGACATCCCTGGTTTCTCAACACCCCCTAACTGAACGTTGAGCTCCAGGTGCAAGGGGAACGTGACTGTTCTTCCTTGTCTCTGCCTCTGCTCTTGTTCCTGTACATTCTGTACTGAAAGTGTGCTGATCACAGCTCTCCTTTCTCCACAGTCTTCAGTGCTCTTAGGCTTGCTGACCAACAGCTTTCCCACCTCATCCCTTTCTAATCCTGCTTGCTCTGCGCCAGCCACCCTGACGTCCCTTTACTGCCTTATCTGCCTGCAATTCCCTTTGTTCAGATATCAACACAAGGCTTGCTCCCTTGCCTCCCATGGGCTTTGCTCAGATGTCACCCTCCCAGTGGTGCCTGCCTTAACCATCTGACTAAAAGTAATGTCACCCACATTACCATTCTCTTTATTCTGGTCTTTTTCTTTTCCTCTGAAAGTTACCACCAAACATATTGTATAAGTTACTTGTTTATTTTTTTGTGTTGATTAGCTCCTACTGCTGGAGTATAAACTTTCTGATAATAGGAATTTTGTTATTCACTAATGTATCACCACCACTCAGGACAGAGTCTGGTATCCAGCAAGCATGCACAGAATTACTGCCTAAGTCTGTGTTTCCTCTATTAAGACAAATAGTTACTATCTATAGTTAGAGTTTGTGCACGTGAGCTATGGAGTCAGAGCAGCCTAGGTTTGAATCCTAGTGGCCCTTCGTCACAGATGAGAGAGCTTGGACAGATACTTCACATGAACTTTGGGGATGTGTTTGTTTACATTATGAGGTTATGATGAGGATTAAATAAATTCATGGGTATAGCCTTTAGTACATGCTGGGCACATGGTCAACACTTGAATGTAGATATGTTACCTTGGAAACCGAAGGAAAAAAAGAACTTCTCCAGAAACATGCCACTCTAAGAGACATTCCAAGGGGCTGATGGTATCCTTCCTGGGGAAGGAGGGTATGGACAGCCTGGGATCCATCCTCATTACCTATGGTGTTTGATGTTCTTAACACAGCTGGTTCATGGGTTTAGATTAGAAATCATCTTTCCCATTTCAGCTGGAAGGATTTTTTTTTTTTTTTTTTGGTACTGGGGCTTGAACTCAGGGCCTACACTTTGAGCCACTACACCAGCCTTTTTTGTGATTTTTTTTTTTTTTTTGAGATAGGGTCTCGCAGAACTGTTTTCTTGGGCTAGCTTCGAACCACGATCCTCCTGATTTCTGTCTCCTGACTAGCTAGGATTACAGGCGGAACCAATGGCACCTGGCTCCTGGAAGGATTTTTTAAAAGTTAACTTACAATATGTAATATGTAATGAAGTTTTAATATGTAATAAAATGTACTATTTGAAGTTTGTAGTATGAGTTTTGACACTTATACCAGTGTAAGTGCTACCAGCAAGCTCTAAAAGACCTCCGCTAATATTTCCAGCCCTGTGCCTGTAATGCTTGCCGTCACTGTTGTCCTGCTCTAGGATTTCCTGTGAGTAACCATCCAGAATGTGCTTATTTGTGTCTGACCTCATGCTTAGCATATGCTTTCAGATTTACACAGATCGTGAATATTCATAGTTTGTTCCTTCTTATTGCTGAGTGATAGTGTGATGTGTGGTTTGTACCACAGTACATTTATCCATTCACTTTTTGATGGATATCTGAGTTGTTTCTAGTTTAGGGTGATTGTGAATAACCTAAATTGTACAATTAAACCAAAAAACCAACTCCCTCCAAAATAAATTTCAGTGATCAGGCTGCTTTCATGTTTGGCTAGAATAAGGACTTGAAATGGTACAGTCAACACTGTGTCATCTTTATCTTTGATAATCACTTGATTTTGATTGCAGCAAGGGCAAAAACCCCTGGTTCACTAAATACTTCACAGTATTTAGTAACAGGAGGTAGTAGAATTCCTATAACTTTTTTTACTAAGGAAGGGCAAGTTTTGTTAAGGATAAACCAAACCAGCTTGCTGGGCAGGTGTTCTACCACTTGCCACTCCACCAGCCCAAAGATTATAATTTTATAAAAGATTCTTCCTGTTAAATTGGGTGCCAGTGGTTCATGCCTATAAACCTAACTACTTTGGGAGGCTAAAGTCAGGTTGGGAGGATCTTGGTTCAAGGTCAACCAGGGCAAATAGTTTGAGAGACCCCATCTTTAGAATAGAGCAAAATGGACTGGAGGTGTGACTGAAGCAGTAGAGTACCTGTTTTGCAGATGTGAATCCCTGAGTTAAACCCCAGTCCCAACTCCCCAAAAAAAGGCTATGTGAATAAATCCATGGATGATTAACATCAAACGTAAAGCTGGACATAGTACAGGCCTGTAATCCTAGCACTCTAGAGGCTGAGGAAGGAGGATGGTGAATTTAAGAGCAGGTTGGGTTACAAAGCAAAACAGCAGCAGTGACAACAATGAAAAAACAAAAGTAAGATTTTCTCTTTAATTTTGGCAGAATACCAAAAAGCCCTGTTGCCATGAACACCTGTGAAATTGAGCAGCATGTATGAAGTAACTGTTATGAGATATCAGGCAACAACTATTGTAGGTCTGTGATCTCTGAGAGAAGAGAAACAACCACAATGAACCATTGACCTGGCTTTCTGCTTGGGTGTGCTTTTCAGATAGTAGCATAAGGAGAATGTCCTGATAGAGGATGTGGCACCATCACCAAGATGAGGTGACTGGAATTCATGGGGCAAGGCACTGGAGAGTAGGGGTTCCATAAATCTGCTTTGAGTTGTTGGCTCAGTTAATAAGCTGTTTTGGGAAAGGAACAATGATTGGGGGAGGACAACTAGCAGAGAGCTATGAGGTGAACCAGCAGAGGTCCCAGAGGAGGGGAGGGCATTCACTTTTGACATTCAAAAACCTGGGTGTAGAGTGGAGGCTCCAGAAGGGCTGCTGCTTAGGAGTAGAACTAAAGCAACTCTCCAATAAAGAATACTCCCTCCTACCAGGTGCCAGTGGCTCACGCCTGTAATCCTAGCTACTTGGGAGGCTGAAATTGGAAGGATTCAAGAGACCTCCATCTCCCAAATAACCAGAGAAAATGGACTGGAGGTGTGGCTCAATTGGTGGAGCTCCTGCTTTGCAAGAGGGAAGCCCTGAGTTCAAACACCAGTTCTACACATACACACAAAATACTCCAGGCCTGTCTTAACAAAGCTTGAAAAGAAGGTTTGAAGGAATTGTGCTAATATACAAGTGAATTAACTGCCTGACTGAAATTTCAATCTCTATTACAGAAAAGAACAAAGCCAGCTTATTCAACAGTGTGGCACCATGATGCTGAGCAATGTCAGATTACCAGACATGTAAAGAGATAGGAAAATATACATAACTAGGAGAAAAATAAGTCAGAAATTAGACATCTTAACACAGCATGTACATATACTCAAGGATTTTTTTTTGGCTGTACTGAGATTTAAATGCAGGGCCTTTGCACTTGCTAGGCAGTGCTTGCCCTCCATCCCCTTACAGACCCTCCCTCCCCAAGGATTTAAAAAAATCATGAACATAATGAGTGAAAAATACAGGAAAACTCAGTAGAGAAATGGAAATATAAAAAGAACAACTTTTTTTTTTTTCTTGTGGTACTAGGGCTTGAACTCAGGGCCTCATGCCTGCTTTGCTTGGTAGGCAGGCACTCTGTCACTTGAGCCACTCCACCAGCTCTGTTTTGTATTGGATTTTTTTCAATATAGGATTTCATGAACTGTTTTCCTGGGACTGGCTTTGAGCTGTGATCCTCCTGATCTCTGCCTGCTGCGTAGCTAGAATTATAGGCATGAGCCCTACCAGCGTAGAAGCCATAAAAGAAGCACACTGACAGGAGACACCACTGACTTCTCACTAGGTACAAGACCAGACAGAAGATATGGGACCACCCTGTACTATGTTGGCAGGAGACAGTGAGGTCACCCTGCAGAGTGTTGGAGGAAGAGATTGGGACTAACTTACAGAATGCTAGAGGAAGACAGTAGAGCCATCTTGCAGAGTGCTGGAGCAAGACAGTGGGGCCACCCTGAAGAGTGTTGGAGAAAGAGATTGGGACCACCCTGAAGAGGGCTGGAGCAAGACAGTGGTACCACCCTGCAGAATGTTGAAAGGAGACAGTGGAACCACCCTGAAGAGTGCTGGAGCAAGACAGTGGGGCCACCCTTCAGGGTGCTGGTAGGAAACAGTGGGACTACTCTGCAGAGTGCTGGTAGGAGACAGCGTAGATATTACCAGTTGACAAAGGATTTGGCAGGGGTGGCATATGGTAATTGGGGTTTGAACTTAGGGCCTTGGGCCACACCCCCAGTCCTTTTTGCTTTTGCTATTTTTCAACTAGTCTCATGTTTATGCCCAGTTGGCCTGTCCTCCTGTTTGTGCTTCCTGTGTAACTGGTGTGCACCACCACACCCAGCTTGTATTGGTTGAGATGGAATCTCAGGAACTTTTGGCCTGAGCTGGCCTGAGACTGCAGTCCTCCTGATCTCCACCTTCTGAGTAACTAGGATTATGAGCCACAATGCCTTGCTGGCAAAAAGTTCTTTTGCTCAATTCTGAGAGAGATCATGAAAAGGCAAAAAGGAGCTCCCTTGGTGTTAGAAGCTTGCAGTTTGAATGCCAGCAGCTCTCAGCAGCTCTTCCAGCAACTAGTTGCTCCTGGCAGCTGCCACTGTCCACTTTGGGCCATCCTCTGGCTGTTAGCTGTCCTTAGTGCTATCAGCTCCAGCTCCTGGCCATTTTCAGGTCTAGCGTCCTTTAGTGTTACCAGTTCTCAGTGTTATCAGCTCAGCCTACTCCACTCAAAATAGAAATCACAAATAAGCAAAATAAAACCGCCCAAAAAAGAGGCTTTATTAAAACTTGTGCTATAGGGTAAGGCGGTGTGGTGGATGGGCTGACCTAATGAGGTTGAGGTGGACTCATGCATGCACAGTGTTCATGGGTGTGGGTTGTGTTCCTTTCAGACCTGATTGGGGACATCTAAAGTCTAGTACATCATTGGAGAGACTGCCAGGCAGTCATTTGGGGTGGACCGGGACCAAAGAAAAGTCTCCCGGAGCAATCTGGGGTCTTTTATCCATGGCCAAAGCAGAGTTCTCCATTGTGGCCACGGGGTGTTTGAGGCAGCTGTGGCAGCAAAAATGTACCTCTTGGATAGGGTTGGACCTTTCTGCTCTGTGTCAGGACTACACCTGTCAAGTGCTGTAAGAAGAGAGCAAGATCCCATTTGTAAAGTGCTGGAAGAAAAATTCAGTCTACCACCTATACCCATGAAGATATTTTCGAAAATGAATATGAAAATAAAGATATTTTCTTTGAGGCTAGCCTGGGCAAAAAAGTTACCAAGACCCCATCTCAGCAAATAATCTGGCAGTAGTAGTGTGCTTTTGAAATGCTAATTATGGGAGGCATAAATAGGAGGATCACAGTCCAGGCAAAAACACAAGACCCTGTCTGAAAAATACATGAAGCAAAACAGGGCTGGGCATGGCAACAAGTGGTAGAAAGCCTGGCTATCAAGTGTGAGGCCCTGAGTTCAAACCCCAGTACCACCAAAACAAAAAAAGCTATTTTCATAGAGACAAATACTGAGAAAACTCCTCACCTCCACTAAAGAAATATAAAAGGAAATTCTTCTGTCTGGAGGAAAATAATGCCAGATAGAAATAGAATTCATGAGAAGGAATGGAGAAACAACAGAAATAGAAGTGTTAGAATAAATACGCAATATGTTTCCTAGTTTTTAAATTTCTTTAAAAGGTAATTGACTCACTGGGTGTGGTGGCACACACCTGTAAGGCTGGTATCTGGGAGGCTGAGGCAGGAGAATCATGAGTTCAAGGCCAGCCTGGGCTGACAGGTGTAGTGAGACCATGTCTCAGAAAAAAAATAATAATTGACTGTTTAAAGTAAAAATAATAGTGTACTGGGGTATCTAACAGAAGTAATGAGGAAGAGGAAAATGGAAATACATTGTTGTTAGGTTCTCATGTTTTTGTGAAGTGATAAAGTACTTGAGTGAAGACTGTTAAACACAACAACCTTACTGTAAACCCTAGCGCAATCACTATAATTATGGACTAGGCAGAGGGGCTGAGAGTGTGGTTCAGTGGTGGTGGTTGTGCCTAGCATGCACCAAGGCCCTAGACTCAATTCTCAGCACTAAAAAAAAAAGGTGTATGGAGGATTGTGTGTTTATATGCAAATACTACACCATTTATAAGGGATTTTAGCATTTGCAGGTTTTGGTATCCATGGGAGTGTTTCCCTGTAGATATGAGGGATGACTGTTACTTTTATTATTGGACAGTGTTTGCAGGTAAATGGGTCCTTGGGTACCCCTGCAAGGGGTACTCTTGACTCTTACCTGCTCTGCACTGCTGCTGAGCTGAGGCTTGAGCAGGTAATGAAAGAAAAAACTGCACTGCTCAGCTGAGCTGTGTATTTAACATTTTTTCCTTTGGCTGGTACTCAGTATATGGGGATAAATTGTAATTTGGGGGATTTTTCTTGATGTCATCTTTTTTGTTTTTGGGGTTTGAACTCAGGGCCTCATGCTTACTAGGCAGGAGCTTTACCACTTGAGCCACTCCAACAGTCCTAAAGCAATCTTTTCTTTCCTTATTTTTTTTTTTTTTTGTTTCCTCATGTTTTAAGAGGCATCTTTGTGTTGAGTATTTTTGAGATAGGGTCTCTCAAACTATTTACCCTGTCTGGCTTCAAACTGTGATCCTTCTGGTCTCTGCTTCCCTAGTAGCTAGGGTTTCAGGCATGTGCCACTGGTGCCCAGCTGCATTGGTTACTTATTTTTTTTTTATTACAAAATTTTTTATTAGGATATATTTGTTATGGGGGGGGGATTGATAGTGATAATTCCGATCAGGCTTATATTGTACATTGGTTAGATCACCCCCATCCTCTCTCCATGCATTGGTTATTTTTGAGGTAGGGCCTCACTTTATGCCCAGGGCAGCTTAGACTGAAATCCTCTATTTGTGCTTTCCTCCCTTCCCCACAGAAGCTGGGATGACAGGTATGTGCCACTGCACCCAGCCATTTGTTAAGATGAGATCTCATGAATTTTTTTTGCCTGGGCTGGCCTCAAAACACGATTCTCCAATCTCTGCCTCCTAAGTAGCTAGGATTATAGGCTTGAGCCACTGCACCCAGCCAGTCCTCTCAGTGTACCATGTACACTGAAACTGTGATATACTGTGATGCCTGTTTCCTTCCAACCTGTTTTCCAGATAAATATTGAGGATTTGGAGGATGACTCTGTGGCAAGTGTGGAGAAGTCTGACTGTACACTGTCAGGGGACAAAGGACGGGCTCAGCATGGAAACCCAGAGACCAAGCGTGATGGAGATGTGATTAAGGCAACACCCCCAGAACAGGTATGGGGAGGGGCATATGTTGATGAGGAAGGAGGTCAAGGCATGTCAGAGGGAAGGTCCTACAGCGACAGCCATGTATCATGTGCTGCCAGTTTCTCTGAGATACACTTTTCTGAGTTCAATTTTGTTAATTGCCTGCGTGCCAAAAAATCCCTTTAGGATCCCTCATGAGGTTTGCATTGAAATATTCTTGGGTTTTTTTTTGTTTTTTTTTTTTTTTGGTGGTATTGGGGTTTAAACTCAGGGCCTCATACTTGCTAGGTAGGCGCTCTACCACTTGAGCCACTTTGCCAGCCCTTTTTTGTGTTGGGTATTTTTGAGATAGGGTCTCACGAACTATTTGCCCAGGGCTGACTTCAAACCTTGATCCTCCTGAGTAGCTAGGATTACAGGCATGAGCCAACGGCACACAACTGCATTGAAATCCTTAAGGCCAGCGGTGGCCTCACGGGTGCTATTAATAGGGCCCAGCTGTCTCCTGCGCTTTTGGGAATGTCTGTGTCTACTCAGAACAGCCAGACTCCAGCAAGGCCTGGGGTCGCATAGAAAGAGTGACCAGGAGTAGTCCTGTCTTCAGAGTGGCTGGAGCATGGAGTAGTAGTTGGCAGAATAAAGAGTGAAAGCTGGGGGACAGGTGGCTGGATAGTATAGAGCCCTGTGAGTCATCTTGGGAAGTTTCTTGATGGAGAGAAGGAAGTGACTGAAGGAACTTTCTGGATATGGAAGGAGGACTGGGGACTGCACATGAGGTCGATGCCTTAGTTCTCGCTGCTCAAGATTTTACTTCTCAGGTAGGGTACAGTAGTTTATGTCTGTAATCCTAGCTACTTGGGAGGCACAGATTGGGAGGATTGCCTTTTGGGGCCATCCCAGGCTAAAAGTTTGTGAGACCCCTCCCCATATCAACCCATGGCTGGGTAGTGGTGTGCCTCATCCCAGCTATGCCATTTAGCACAAATAGAAGGATTGTGGTCCAGGCTGGCCCAGGTATAAAGTGAGACCCTATCTCAAAAATAACCAGCACAAAAAGAGACTGGCAGAATGGCTCAAGTGGTAAAGTACCTGCCTAGTAAGTGTTAGGCTCTGAATTCAACCCCTAGTCAAAAAAAAAAAAAAATAGATTTTACTTCTCTTTCCATGGACTAAAATGTCTCCTTTTGTTAGTCTAATGCAAGTGGCAAACTCCGAAAGAAGAAAAAGAAGCAGAAAAATAAGAAAAACTGTCCAGGAGGATCTTCGGTATGTGTCAGACCTGGCCTGTCCCTTCTCCTTCAGCCCCTGCCTGTTCCCTTCTGGTTGAGTCCCTCAAGCTGTTGCTGGAAGAAGCTTGTTTTTATTTGATTCCTTCCCACTAAGAGTATGTAATTAAGAGGTCAGGGGAAAGAAAAGGAAAATCATTTACATATTTTGCTTCTGGTTTGCTCCCTTTTGCACATTGGTAGTGAAAGCCATTTTTGGTTCTGTGTTCCAGCACTCAATAGCAGGCATGTCCTGAAGGGAGGGCCCCTCCCAGTTCTGTTTCCAGACACCCTGTGTGAAGTTTGCTGTCTATCCTTCCTTTGTTTTGTGCTAAAGGCCTAACTGGGTGATGGGTGTAGAAGTCATCCACTGACCAATCTGTCAGCAGAGAGCACATTCCCATTCTTGCCCTGATGTTCCTGTCTGACTCTGCTGAAAAGAGGCTATGGCTTTGTGCTGCTCAGTGGGAGTTACAAGTCCCAACTCCATTTATCTGAGGAGGCTAGCTCACTTGTGAGACCCGGAATGTGATCCTCTGGCCTGATGATTTCCAAGACGCTTGGTTCTGTGATTCTGTCTGTTCTGTACTTCCTCTGATGGGATCTCTCTTCTTTCTGAATGTATACACCCCACATAGTGTTTGAAGGATAGCATCTTTTAGGAAGTAAATACAATGTAACTGTTCTTTTTCAAAATCATTGTTATTGATGCAACATTTGAAGTAAAGTCAAAGCTGGACAGTGGTGCATGCCTGTAATCCCAGCACTTGGGAGGTGGGGGCAGGAAGATCTTGAGTTCTAGTGAGACTCTGTCTCAAAAACCCATTAAATAAAAAAGTAGTCAGTGTGGTGATTAACAGGTTGTTCTGGGGTTTTTAGGAAAATGTGCTGGAAGATATCGATCGCATCTTAGAGAGGATCGAGGACAACAGTGGATTCAGCCGCCCTGGCCCGCCTCCTCTGATTTCCAGGAAGCATGTGCTGTACGTTGAGCACAGGTACAGTTTTGCGCCATACCATACAAGGAGAACATTATTTGAAAAAATGAAGAAGAAAGTTTACTGTCTTTATTTAAAAGTGGTAAAGTAGCCGGGCGCTGGTGACTCACCTCTGTAAACCTAGCTACTCAGGAGACAGAGATCAGGAAGATCATGGTTTGAAGCCAGTCCAGGCAAATATTTGGGAGTCTGTATCTTGAAAATACCCAGTACAAAAAAGGGCTGGCACAGTGGCTCAAGTGGTAGAGTGCTTGCCTAGTGAGTGTGAGGTTCTGAATTCAAACCCCAGTACCGCAAAAAAAAAAACAAAACAATGGTGAGGTTTAGGGGTGTAGCTCAGTGGAAGAACTCTCACCTAGCATGTGTAAGGCCCTGGGTTCCACCCCCAGCCCTGCAAAAAGTAAAATAAATAATAATAAGATAAAATTCATTCCTTGGCGGGAGAAAAGTGGTAAGAGTTTATGGTTAAACTTTTAGGAGATAGAGCAGGGCTCCAGTGGTCACACATGTCACCCTCGCTACTTGGGAGGCTGAGATCACAGTTCAAGACCAGCCTAGGCAAATAGTTCATGAAACCCTTTCTCCAAAACAACCAAAGCAAATGGACTGGAGGTGTGGCTCAAGCTGTAGAGCACCTGCTTTGCAAGTGGGAAGCCCTGAGTTCAAACCCCAGTCTCACTGAAAAAAAAAAAAAACAAAAAACCTTGTAACAGATAACAAGGAGAAACAGAAAAGGAAATAAAGAACTCATTCACATTCAGAGGATGCTCAGCTTCACATTTCTTAGACAGTTCTGTCTTTGTTTTTGGTGGCACTAGGGTTTGAACTTGGTCTCACTTTTCTCCCTGGGCTGGCTGGACTGTGATCTTCCTACTTACCCCTCCCATATAACTAGGATTGCAGGTGTATGCCGTCAGCCTGGCTTATTTGTCTAGATGTGGTCTCCCTTAGTTTTTGCCTAGGCTGATCTTGACCATGATCTTCCCAATCTCTGCCTCTCAAGTAGCTGGGATTATAGACAGGGCCTCTTAGATAGGTTTTTTTTTTTCTCTTTTTGATGGGGGACTGGGGTGTGAACTCAGTCCTTGCGAGGCAGGCCCTCTACCACTTGAGTCACTCCACCAGCCCTTTTTTGTGTTGAGTATTTTTGAGATAGGGTCTCCTGCACTATTTGCCTAGGGTTGGCTTCAAATCGAAATCCTCCTGATTTCTGCCTTCTGAGTAGCTAGGATAATAGGATGAGTGTTTGGATCCCTCAGTTTTTTGAAGTGTATAAAAGTACCATGTCACCTGTCACCCCTGGGTGATTATCCATTTCTTGGCTTTTTATTTTTTTCAGTACTAGAGCTTGAACTCAGGGTCTACACCCTGAGGTACTCCACCAGCCTGTGTGTGTGTGTGTGTGTGTGTGTGTGTGTGTGTGTGTGTGTGTGTGTGTGTGTGATGGGTATTTTTGAGATAGGGTCTCGAGGGTCTCGAGAACTATTTGCCCGGGCTGTCCTCGAACTGCAGTCCTCCTGATCTCTGCCTCCTGTAATTCTGCTAGGATTATAGGCGGGAGCAATGGCGCCTGGCCATTTCTTGGTGTTTTAAATGTTCTATGAGGGAGTAATGGAGTAACTCAAGTGGCAGCTGGCAGGTGTGAGGCCTTGAGTTCAAACCTCCAGTATCACCAAAAAAAAAGGTTGTATGAAACCTTGTCCCTACTATAGTGGTTGTTGCTACCTTTTTTTTTTCTTTCTTTCTTTTTGAGTTAGGGTCTTGCTGTGTAGCCTAGGCTGGCATTGAAACTTGGGATCTCTGCTGCCTGAGTGCTGTGATTTCAGACATGCACTACCATACCTGGCTTTGTTGCCAGCTTAAAAAAAAAATAAAAAACACCACTTGAAGTTTGTTGAGACACTGTGGTCTAGTTGCAGGTGTCTCTAGTTCATGGCACTTGTTTGCCATGTGTAGGAAACCATCCCAGGTGCCTTCTGTCTTAACGTGGTGACTAGCTTCTTTTAGTGTCCTCCAGTAGCAGTTGTAGCCAGGTTGGGTGGTGATTTTAAAGAAAGTCAGTCTACAACTTGCCTTTCAAACCAAAGTCGCTGTTCTCCTTGCTAATTTCTTGTGAACTTTCTAAAATTTCCAGAGTTGTAGAAGAACATGATTTAACTTTTGTTTCTAAAATTTTCAATTCTCTAGACACCTGAATCCAGACACAGAACTGAAAAGGTATTTTGGTGCTCGAGCTGTCTTGGGGGAACAAAGGTAAGGTACACACTAAGCTGCCCTTTCAAAGCTGTTTCATTCCTTTTCAGACTTGAGGGATGGGAGGGAGTGTTGAAGGGTTAAGAACCACCACAGGGGAGACTATCTGAAGCCATAGTGGACAAATGCAGTCTTTAGTGTTTCTGAAATGGGTGCAAGGAGATGGTTTGTGGTGTCATCAAGATGCTCAATGGGCTGGGCTCCAGCCCTTACATTGTCTTCAGTATGTGTGTCAATTTTTTTTGTTGTTGTTGTTGGGGTAGGTGGGTTTGAACTCAGGGCTCCAAGCTTGCTAGGCAGGAGCTCTACCACTTGAGCCTCACTCCCTGCCGGTGTCATCATTTAAGAAAGGTCCTAAAGGCCTTACTAAATCTTGAGCGTCTAGTCTTGAAGTCTTAAGTACACTTTTGCTTCTCAGCAGCAAAACTACCAAGAGGTTTAGGTTCTAAGAGGCTTTACGTGTGTTGATTTAATAGTTCTTCGTGATTTTGAAGAGCTTTACTTGTGTTGATTTAATCGTTCTTCATGGTTGTGAAGAGCGGTGCAGGGCATCCCTTGGCTCCCAAAGGGAGAAAGCACAAGGGCCTGCTATTGTGCTTTCTGGAGGAGGCGTGTGCTCTGCTCTCCAGAAAGCTTTGTCTGTTTTTCTTTTTTCTTTTGTTTTTTTTGAGACAAGGCCTCAAACTCATGATCCTCCTGCCTCAGCCTCCTGAGTGCTAGGATTACAAATGTGTACCCCAACACTTGGCTTTGTCTTTTTAATTATATTTTTTGGTTTTTCTTTTTTTTTTTTTTTTTGGTGCTGCTGGAGTTTGAACTCAGCACCTTGTGCTTACCAGACAGGTACCCTAGCATTTGAACTGTGCTGCCAGGCCCCAAGTGTTATTTTTTATGATGTGATACAACAGGGTTATTTTCTTACTTCAGATACTAGGTTGTATCTAGCTGTTAGCTGCAGCCCCCCTGCAGCTGTACAGCATCTCATGAAATTGCACAAGTAATAGGTACCCTCATTTCCTGTTACCTGCATGTTGCTAAAGTGCCTCAAAGGAGCTGTGCAGCTTTGGCCCAGTTCTCCGTCCACAATTACCATCATCCACAGTAGAAACAGTAGGGTTTTAAAATCTGTAGATTTAAGGTGTAGGCAGTCTAGGGTTTTTTTGTTTTTTGTTTTTGTGGTACTAAGGCTTGAATTCAGGGCCTTCACCTTGAGCCACTCCACCAGCCCTTTTTTGTGAAGGGTTTGTTCAAGATAGGGTCTTGCAATCTCTTTTTCTGGGGTTGGCTTCAAACCTCGATCCTCCTGATCTCTGTCTCCTGAGTAGCTGGGATTACAGGTGTGAGCCACCAGTGCTCAGCTCAGTCTAGGTTTTTTTAGCTTTTTAATTTTTAGATTATGAGTAGGGTCAAGGTTTTTTCATATGCTATTTGCTCCTACTTTCTTTGTATTTCTAACAGTTTTTGCTTTATATTTTTGTGTTTTTTTCAGTGCACCTGATTTCTTTTGGGACTATTAGTGAAAAGTATTTATACTTTAAAATGTTCCCTTTGTCACCTGTATTGCCCTGGGTTGAGCATTGTACTTCCCCTCTCCTAGTCCCAGGTTTGTCTGTCTGTTATGTTTATTTCTGTAAATTATAGTTACTAATAGTAATGAGTTAGGCTGAAGGTGTGACTCAAGAGGTAGAGTGCCTGCATAGCAAGCCTGAAGCCCTGAGTTCAAATTCTAGAACCAGACATGTGCACATGCACACACACACACACACAGAGGGGAAAAAAATAGTGATTAGTTAATAATTGTATTTATTCTTTTTTTTTTTAAATGCTGGGGATTGAACCCACAGCCTTGCACATGCTTAGGACATGTCCTGCCATGGAACTGCATCACCTAGCCTCATACTTTTTTTCTTTTTCTTCTCTTTTCTTTTTTTTTTTTTTTTTTTGAGACAGTGTCTCATTATGTTGCCTAGGCTAGTCTCAAACGCAGGAGCTCAAGTGATCCTCCTGCCTCAAGCTTCCTGAGTAGCTGGGACTTCAAGCATGCACCATGATAAGTGGCCCACTTGTTATTTTCATTTATTTTTTTCCTCAAAGCATTTTTATTAGCATATATTAATTGTATAGGGGAAATTCACTGTGACATTTCTGAATATGCTTACATTGTATATTGGTTAGGTTCATCCTTACCATCTCTGTCCCTCACTCCCCCACCTTGTTATTTTTATTGTTTTATACTTTTGGTTATATTTATGTCTTTAAAATTTTAAGTCCTAGGCTGAGCATGGTGGTACATGCCTGTAATTCCAGCACTCAGGAGTCTGAGACAGGAGATTGCATGTTCCAGCCCAGCCTGGGCTATATAGCAAGACCCTGAGTCAAAATCCCCCCAACCCCAAATAAAGTCCCACCAAAAGACTTCTCCCTTCCTTCCTCATCTCCTACCCCTGCTACCCACTGCTCTGAGTCAAAGCTTTGGAGCATGGTGGTCACCTCAAAATTGCCAAATAACCTGTGCCCTGCTCCTTCTGTGACCTTGACTCCCTATCATGATAGACAGAGTCAGATCACTGCCCCCCCCAACCTCCCAAAGCCCCTCTGTGCCATCTCCACTGCCCTGTGGGTCTGCGAACCTCGAGGTGCCCTTGCAGAGATACTTCTCTGTGTGTCCCCCTCTCCCCATCACACATCAGTAACCTGTGTCGGGGCTGCCTTCTTTCCCAGAGTTCTCCCTGAGAGCTCATTGTGGTGCTAGGCTGGCCCAGGATTCCATAGACTTGGGTCAGTTCTGAGCGTCCTTTGATTCTTCTTTTGGCCCCTACCAGTTACCCAGAGCCCTGCCCCATTTTATTTCCCCTCAGATTTGGGCCATGCTTCTGTACAGCAGTTTTTCTCCTGCAGTTTTTGATTTTCACTTTGGAAGAAGAAATAAACTTTTTTTTTTTTTTGGTGGGACTAGGGTTTGAGCTTAGGGCTTCGTGTTTGCAAACTCATGTTTACCACTTGAGACACACGTCAGTACCATTTTGCTTTGGTATTTTTTGGAGATGGAGACTCATGAACTATTTGCTTGGGCTGGCCTCATACCGCGATCCTCACAATTTTAGCCTCCCAAGTAGCCTGGATTATAGGCATGAGTCACCAGCACCTGGCTGCTGGTGAAACATGTTTCTTTATTCTGTTGATGAGAGTTCACCTTCTTACTGATTCCTTCTCTCTCCCCCCACCCCCCTGTTTAATGAAATAGTTCAGATTATCTAAAAAGCATAGAGAATAATATAAAAATACCTATATGCCCACCACTCGGCTCATGACCCAACCTTCACCAAAGCAGAAAAGGCCCTTCCTTCGTCAAAAGAAGGCCCTTCATATGCCACATGCCCTCCATGCCTGTCTGGTCACCCCCTGACCAAGGCATGGAGGAGAGTCTTAGGCTCCTGTGGCAGAGACCCCCAATAACTCAGAGCACTGGCCCTGGTGGCAGAGCCCTGGCAACCTCCCCACCCCCATAGTCATGGGAGATCTATAGAGAGCTGGGCCTCCCTCTCCCTACAGACTCTCAGTGCTATCCATTTGGCTCATTTTCTTCCAGAAATGTGCCTTTGCTCTCCTCCAGTTTTGTTCTTTGTTACCACTTTTTTCTTTTCAACATGGCAAACTTCTTGTCATGTTGGTGGGGTTGACAGAGGTCCACAATCCCAAGTGTCTCTTTTGTCCTATTTGACTGCCTCCCTTTTCCCTCCAGAAGCCAGCTCATTGTGTCTACAGAATACCAGCAGGCCTCGCTCATTCTTCTTATTTTAGGATTATTTTTGGTTTCCTTTTTACCCCTTCTGCCTTTTTACTGGACTATTTGAACTTTCTCTTTTTTCTTTTTTTATTTGTGTTAAGTGTAATTTATTTTTTGGTGGTGCTAGGGATTAAATCCAGGCCCTTATGCATGGTAGGCAAGCACTCTCCCAGTAAGCTACATCTCCAGCCCCTTTCTTTTTTCTTTTTGCAGTGCTAGGGATTGAACCTAGGGACTTGCACATGCTAGGCAAGCACTCTGCCACTGAGCCACACCTCCAGCCTGTACTTTCCCTTTTTTTTTTTTTCTGTTTTTCTGGTTGTGTGGTGAATGAACATCCCAAGTCTGATGGTGCTGTGTTCTCACTCACATGCCACTTGTGCCCCTTCCCATATACCCTCCCTGTTTGCTCCCACAGTTCCCAGGGGGATTTAGGCAGCCAGTCCTGCTCCCCACACTCCATGGAAGGTAGAGCTGTGCCTGTGTCCCCTTCTCCCCAGGCCACGGCAGAGACAGCGTGTGTACCCTAAGTGTACGTGGCTGACAACCCCGAAGAGCACCTGGCCTCGGTACAGCAAACCAGGTGAGGGTCTTTGGGCATCTGAACAGTGACACTGGCCGGGTGCTGCTGCTGTCAATCTTCATAGGCCAGCATCTGCTCCATCTGTGTGGAGCCGGTGTGCAGTCTACACTGGGGTTTGCACACACTGCTGCTAGAGGATAGAGACCCGACATCTCACATAGAGCTCCCAGCATATCTGTGTTTCCTGACTATCTCAATGCAGGGTTTCTGCCTTTATATCTGCCTTTTTCCTGTGGGTACAGTATAATAGGAAGCGAGTTCATTTTTAAAGTTTGATAGTTTTAAGTTTTGTAACAAACTACCAAGTACAGATAACTTAAAGAAAAATCACTGTAGTGAAGAGGCATGGAGTGTCAAGTAAATGGTGTGGGAAAGCATCCGAAGAGCCCCCCCCATGGCTGGAGGAAAACCAGGGCAGGGATATCCATGACAGGAAGGTCATGTGTGGATGTATTGATAGTCGTGCCAGGAGTCTGCCCATCTATGCCAGTACTACCACACCCTCTCCCACAGCCTTGCCTCTCCTGCTCCTGTACCTATTGTAGATTTTGGAAGATTCCTTTTGTGCTCTCAGTGAGGACCCACCTAGGAGCTCAGGGCCTGTGCTTTAGAGAGCTAGCCTTGATGCCTCATTAGGTGCCTTTTGTTCTGCCAGGCACCCCACCCTCCTAGCAAAACACTTGAGCACAGGTACAGCCAGGGAATTATGGGCCATATATTCCTTCAGGACTTGGGCCCTGGGTAGGGCTGTCAAGAGGGAGTAGCAAAGGCAGGGCTGAGAACCACTGACCTATTTCATGAAGTTCCTGGGAGACTGAGTTTTCCAGGAAACTGGGCCCTGTATACCCAACATCATACACAGGGAGCAGAGAGAAAGCATGTCTGTTCATGGGTTGTAAGTTACCCTGGCCTCCATAGCCTGGCGCTGTGCCCACTGCAGTCTCCTTACCCTCCCTCTCCCCCACACTCCTTGGCCACCCTGGATGTCCATCCCAACCAGCTTCCATCTGAGCTCATGAGTCCCTGACCAAATCCAATGGCTGGGTGGGTCAAGCATCTTCTAGTCTCTGACATTGCCCCTAGGCCCACCACACTTCTTGTCCTGGATATTTCTTACTATACCCACACTCTTAGCTGGATCTGAATTCTGCAGGGAAAGGTGTCTTTATAAAAAGTCAAAACAGACAGGATGCTGGTTCCTAGTGTAGCCCAAGCAGTAGGAAGTAAGCCTGGTCATTTGTTGGGAGAGCATTTGGTGGACGTCAGCTTTTATCCTGGAGGCAGCCCAGCCTCAGACTTGGGTGACCCTCATAAGGCCCTCCCACTCAGGTCCAGTTTCTCAGAGTCTTTGCCAAGCACAGCACAAGAGTGTTGACTGCTCAGAGCCCTGCAGAGGCCCCACACCCCAGCCTACAGTACACCCTCCCTGAGCACTTTTGCCTCCCAGGTCTGTCGATGCGGCTGCTGGAGTCGAAAAAAGGCCTTTCCTTCTTTGCATTTGAGCACAGTGAGGAGTACCAACAGGCTCAGCATAAGTTCCTGGTGGCTGTGGAGTCCATGGAGCCAAACAACATTGTGGTGCGTGACCTCAGCAGCTCCCAGCAGGGTGGGGGCTGAGCAGTGGCCCTGTGCCAGGGCTTGGCCCTCTGGTGACTTGAAAGGTGTGCCCAAGGGCAGCTGCTCCACCAAGCAGAAAGGACATAGTCAGACCCTGTGTTCAAAGCACATGTACTTGGAACTAAGCAGAGCCCAGTCCGTCCTGAGAAGAGAGCCACACCTGGCTCTCATGTTGATCTCGGCACTAGCTTTGCCTCCAGCTTTACTTACATATCAGGGGAGTGCTTAGATTCTCTGCTCTCAGGCTGCCCACTCATCTCCTATGCCATTGGGGACTGCATCCTCCCTGCCCTAGGGTTCTGAGGGCCCAGCTAGCCTCATGCTTAGGCCCTAGTTGGGTTTATGATCACTGAGAACAAGAGCTTACTCTCTGTTCCCCACATCCACCCAACCCCCAATGAGCTCACTGTTGTGTTCCCATGTGGGAAAAGAAAGCTACTTGTTTCCATTGCTCTTTGTTGAGGTATGGAAAGCTGAGCATGCCCAGTTCTGAGTTCCTACCTTGAACCAGGTCAGTGGTTTGGCTGAGCAACAACAGTGCATACCTTGACTTAGAAGGGAACTGTGACTGTCACCCCTGGTGGTCATTCCTCACAGCATGCATGGAGCGCAGGACCCTCTAGGGGTGTGTCCTACAAGGGCCCACCTGCAGCCTTTCTCTTTTTTCTCAGGTCCTGCTCCAGACAAGCCCCTATCACGTAGACTCTCTCCTGCAGCTCAGTGATGCCTGCCGCTTTCAGGAGGATCAGGAGATGGCCCGAGACCTCATAGGTGAGACGCCTCCTCCGTCTGCCCTGGAGCAGCTACAGATCCCAGGCAAAGACACTGTGTCAAAAAATGACAGAGGGTGCAGTAGGCTTGCCAGGATGCTTTAAAATAGTGACCTCATTGAGATGTAATTCACATAATGCAAACTCACTCACCCCTGTAATCCATTGGCCTTTGGTGTGTGCCAGAGTTGTGCAGCCATCACCATAGTCTATTTTAGAGCACTTTCATCTCCCGCAAAAGATCCCCCACCCCTCTGTCCTCCCTCAGCTCCTGGGACCACTCATCTACTCTGTCTGGGGGTTTGCCTGGTGTGGCGGTTTCATGGAAAGGAGCCATATAAGTATGTGTATGTGGGCTTTGTGTGTGACTTCTTTCATTTACTGTAATGTATTGCTATCTGTGTTATAACATGTGTCATACCTGTACCTGTTTATGGCTGGATAAAATTCCTCCTGTGGGTAGCACACATTTTGTGGACCCATCATCAATTGATGGACATTTGGTCTGTTTTCGCCAAGTGCTGCTATAAACGTGTGAAGGTTTTGTGAGGATGTGTGTTTGTGTTACACACATGGATACTGCTTAACAGAACACAGTGTCAGTCATGTTTCATGGTGTAGAAGATGTTTCCATGTCAGGCTCATAAGTTCTGTGTTGCATTAATTCAGAATGGCATCAAGGAACCTGGGAGGTCCTGTCTGCTCTCTCTGTTTCAGGATCCCAGTTACATGACTTCCTTCCAAAACTTTTCTTATTTTGAGTCATCAGAGGAGGGGGTGGCAGTTACCACATGGTGGCTGTGACACCTGCTCTGGTGTGTCTGTGACCTGCAGAGAGAGCGCTGTACAGCATGGAGTGTGCGTTCCACCCGCTGTTCAGTCTCACCAGTGGGACTTGCCGGCTGGACTACCGCAGACCTGAGAACAGGTGAGCGTGGCCCATCCTGGAGCAGCTCTTGGGAGCATCTGGTAATGGTGGTGCTTGCCTCCCTTTCTCCTGGAAGAAAGGTTTTGGGAGGTTGTCTACAAGTCACAGGAGTGACCACACTGTGAGTTCAGCAGGGAACATTTGGCAAAAGACTGTCCTTGAGGGCCGGGCTCAGGGACCTTGGGATTGGATAAGCCCAGGATGAAATTTTTCTAGTTTGAAGTGAGCTTGACAGGCCACCTCACCACAGTGAGGTCTATAATTATGTTTCTTGTGTATTTGGACAAAAAATCCATTCTGTGAACTTAGACTATTATAGCATGCTTTGCATGCATATGTTCTGACTCTCAAGCTTGCAGTCAGTGCAATTGAGTCTGTGATTGCAGACAGTCCTCTCTTTCCAATATTTCTCCTGCCCTAAACAGCCACTGCTGACCTCCCTGAGCCCCTGGTCCCATGTTTCTCCCTCCTCTGTCACATCAGTGCCCTGATTCTGGCTGGAGCCAACAGGACTGGCCCAGCCTCACAGCCATGGCCAAGTGTTCAGACATCTATACTGGTACTGCATCTGGATTTTCTCCAGTGGGTTCCTTTTTGCTGCTTTTGTCTCTTCCTGTTAAACTCTTAGTTCTTTGTAACATAAGTAAAATTAACTTACCAGGACAACTAAAGTCACACAGCTTCATGTACCCAACAGCAGCTCCATTGACAACCACTGAAGTGTGAGCATAAATTAAGATGGTAATTATAATAGGTTTTAAATCTCTTCCCTTATATGATAATTGGTAAACAAAAAAGCAAGAAGAAAAGGTTCCAGATCAGCTTGATTTTAGTCAAGCTGGTGGTGCCTATAGTCTTAACACTCAGGAGGCTGAGAAAGGAGGATTGTTTAAGTCCAGGAATCAAGGTCAGCCTAGACACCATAGACATACCTGTCTCAAAAAATGAAAAAGCTGGGCTGGGAGTGTGGCTTAAGTGGTTGAGTGTCTGTCTGACCAGTGTGAAGCCCTGAGTTTGAACCCCAGTGCCACCAAAAAATGAAAAATAAACAAAAAGCTTGCTTTTCTATACATAAGTACACACATAACTAAATACTGAGGAGCACACACCTTCCCTCCATACACATGGGGAGTGTTCACAAGCACTGTGTTCAGGAACGGCAGAGATGGTGCTAGGTGACTCTGACTTGTGCTCTTCGGCTCTGCTGTTGCGCCTACTCACGAGGAACTGTTCGGACCTAGGAGCTTCTACCTGGCACTTTACAAGCAGATGAACTTTCTGGAGAAACGAGGCTGCCCACGTACCGCCCTGGAGTACTGCAAGCTCATTCTGAGGTGAGTATCCTCCGGTGCTATGCTGTTGCCTGTCCTTGCTGCAGCGACCGTAGATCCATGGGGACTCTTGCCATGACCATACCTCCTCTGTCCCCTTTTCTCTTCACTCCCTACGCTGCCTCTGGAAGCCTTGAGCCAGATGAGGACCCTTTGTGCATGCTGCTGCTTGTTGATCACCTGGCCTTACGGGCCCGGAACTATGAGTACTTGATTCGCCTTTTCCAGGAGTGGGAGGTAGGTGTGAGCTGTGCATGGTTCTTCACCTTTCTTGGTCCACAACCTGTGTTCAAGGGACAGTTTTGTGATACCATGGTGAGGGTGTGATGCAGAGCCAGGGTAGATCTCCAGGTATTTCCTGCCTTTTTGGCTCCATTACCACTTCAGGCGAGCAGGATCCAGACTCTAAAGGGTGGTTCGAGAGTCCTGACACCACATGCATCTGCATAAGTGTGACTGATGATGGTGCTGGTAGTGATGAAAAGTTGGGAAAACCCCAGCCCTCCCATCACCCATACAATAAGATGCAGTCATGAAGTAGAGGGTGATATGGAGTCGACACAGGGACCCCACACTGTGAGAGCCATGCACATCTAGTGCCAGGCTCAGCACCAGGAAAGAATGTAAGATGTCTGACCATTCTGTACACATGTATTACAATACTAGGTGTATCAGGTTAAATACCATGCGTTAAAATTATTTTCATCTTTCTTGTTAATGCACCCAAAAAAAAAAAGTAGAAAATTTCCCTCAGATACAAGTTTAAGTGGTCTTCATCCTCAATTAGAGAGAGGCCTCGGTGGAGACTCAAATGCATCTGCTCACTGTGGGGGTCATCTGGTAGTGTCTGAGCATCTGTAAATATTACATTTTGTCTTCATGACCTTTCCCCAAACTTTATTTCATCATTCCTTGTAGGCTCATCGGAACCTGTCCCAGCTCCCAAATTTTGCCTTCTCAGTTCCATTGGCATATTTCCTGCTGAGTCAGCAAACAGACCTCCCTGAGCATGAGCTCAGTTCTGCAAGGGAAAAGGCCTCCCATTTGATCCAGCAGGCGCTCACCATGTTCCCTGGAGGTAGGCTCCATACTTGATGAAGGTAGAGGTGACTCATTTTTCCTGGGGTACCACTTGGTGCAGCAGGTGCTCACCATGTTCCCTATTAGTAGGTACTACACCTGCCCCAGGTGGGAGGTGATACATCTTCCTGCGATGCATTATCTAACTGACCTAAAAATCTACTGTTCCTACAGTTAGGGATCTGTCCAGGTGTAAGGGCCAGAGGGGAGAGGGACAAATATCCCTATCACTGGTGGGGTGAGTGGCAGTGTGGGAGAGAAACCAAGGAGTTAACCAGAAGATGCAGTGTCTTAGATGGTGTTTTTGCTAGGCAAAGAAGCAGAGCAGGCAAGGTCTGGAGAGGCCTGGGGCCCAGCCCAGAGGTAATGGACAGGCATCAGCCTTGAGCAGCCAGAACGGGCTGTGTTACACTGTGCTGCTCTAGGGTTCCCACAGGCACAGTGAGTGAAGCACCAGCAGTGGGGCCTCAGCAAACACCATCAGGAACAACCCTGCTCACTGAACTCAAGAGTCAGCTCTGTTTACTAAAAAGCCACCTCTGTCCTCTGGGGTCAGGTATAGCTTCTTTGCCTCAGGAGACCAGCTGGGTGGAACACACAGAGCTGGGCAGTGTGTGTTGCACAACAGAGCTGGCACTACTGCCTGACAGGAGCACTGCATCATGAGTCCCTAGAAGCCACTGGGGGCCTGAGCTCTCTTGGCAGCTGCCATTGGCAGACTCCCAGCATGGCCTTCAGTCTGTCGGGAAACCAGTGCTAAATAAGCAGAGTGGTGCAAGCAAGAGGGACCATTCCTGCATGGTGGCCACTGACAAAATCCCAGGCCCTGTGGTGTCAGCTCCTGTGGAGAGCACAAGCACTCCCCACTCTCGCTCATCTGCCATGGGGTCTGGTCTTCATATGATTAAAACATCTGGCCACCCCTGCTGGGGGGTGATAAGCAATTCTCCTTTGGAACAGATGGGAGGCAGCCAAAAAAGGGTCCACATCCAGCATTCAGAGGCACCTCATTGCCTGGTGTAGAAATACTCCATCCTCAGACCTGATCCCTCAGCAACAGCAACTTGAAATCCTGATCAGAAATGAGGACCCCACTGGCTGTCTAACCTCCTCCACCTTAAAAACACTGAGCTGTGTCTGTGACAGGGACCTCACTATGTCCCCTGTCATCTACGATGGGTGGGAATGGTATAATGAGAATGACTGTGCACATGGACCCTTTGTTTCTTGTGTAGTTCTCATGCCTCTGCTCGAGTATTGCAGTGTGCGGCCTGACACCACAGTTGCAAACCACCGCTTCTTTGGACCAGATGCTGAAATAAGGTAAAGACCCAGGATTTGCGTATATGGGGGCTCCATGGGCACCTACCTCCCTCAGCCCTCATGGCAGCAGAGGGGCTGTGGTGTGCTGGCAGCACTTGGGGCTGCCACCCTTTGCACCTGCACCCCCCCCCCATTATGGTAACCTTGGAAGTAGGAAGTGTCTGGGGGAGCTGGGATTGCTGTTCCGGTGATGAAGGCTCTGAAGCCCACATCCATGTACAAGACACCCTCACCTCTGTGAGAAAATCTACTGGTGGAGCAATTGAGCAGCCTAAAAAATAAGGTTCACAAAGATGCCTCTTTATGAGATTGGGGAGCAGGGTGTGAGGTCAGATGGCATCACCCATCTGAGGTGCTTGGCATGGGAGCAGAGAGACTAGTGAGCTCATTATCTCCCTATCATCAGTGTTTCCCAGATTCTGCATTGGCACGTGTCACCTTTCTCAAATTTCTCATAAATAAGAAGAGACATACATGAAGAATGCTTTGTGTGGGGAGCATCAGCAGGCTGCTGGCCAGTCTCCAGGGCCTACTCCATGCAGACACATACCTACACATTCTTAAGTTCTTATATTTCTATTGAGTGACTACTCATAGTACTGAAGAATGCAGACAACTCAGAAGACCCAGAGAAGCAGACCTGTGTGCCCTACCCCTCAGAAGGTGTAGTGTCCAGTTTGGCATACCACTGGGTTTGCCCTGGATATCCTTTTCCACCAGTGGGACCCAGGCAGGGGGTTCTGCTTACAAGCCCTACTCTTCCACAGCCAGCCCCCTGCCCTGAGCCAGCTGGTGAGTCTGTACCTTGGGAGGTCACATTTTCTCTGGAAAGAACCTGCCACCATGAGCTGGCTGGAAGAAAATGTCCGAGAGGTTTTGCAGGCAGTGGATGCTGGGGACCCCACCGTGGAGGCCTGTGAGAACAGGTAAGCTGGGTTAGGCTTGCTGAAGCTTGTCCTGGAGGGTGTGTGTGAGAGCCAGGCACAGGGAGGGTGCCTTACTGGTATCAGCACCTCCCATGCCCCTCTTTGGAGGTCATAAACAGCACCTCCCATGCCCCTCTTTGGAGGACAGCAGGGGCTGTGAGCAGTTTGGTCTCTACCATGAGCCTAAGGGGGCACTCCTGAGAGGCTGAGGGAGCAAGTATGTGCACAGTGGCACACTGACCCTGAGATTGCTGCGTGGTTGCTACTGCTGTCCACATGGAATTGTGTGTGTGGTCATTTGGGTATTCCAGTGCTTTGCTCCATTTGTTTTGATTGTAGACTTTGCTTCCATGGGTGATTCCCAGAGTCTCCTGTCGCCTTCCTGGCAAAAATTTAAGCCAGCAGGCACCCAGGGCAACTGAGTTGGCTTCTGCATGTGGGGATTTTGGTGCCTGATAACCTGGTGTGCTGCATTTGAGAAACACTTTCTTGCTTGCTTGTACAGTTTGTCTGGTCTGTGGCCCTGGTCAGTGCCCTCACTCTGGGAATGGCTGTGGCCAGGCTGGCTGGCAACCAGGGCCTCTGCTCTGTGCTGGCCACACCATCTCCCTGGGATGCCAAGGAAAGGTCCTTTTGCTGTGGACTTGAGGCTGAGCCCCAGGATGTCTAAATAGACAAGAAGGTGACAAGGAGATGCCAATGCTCCCAGCCCTCTCATTCACATGAACAATTGCTGGCCTGGACACGTCTCAAGGCCGGAACACATTTTGTTCCCTGCAACTGTCTCCCTGGCTCAATGTCCAGAAGAAAGCAGGCCCCTACAGTGGTAGTGAAGATGGACACAAGTGGGCCCCTGCTGTGGAAACTGACTTAAGTGAACTACCACCAGCTACTGGCTGCAACTGTTGTCACTCTCATGTCAGGAGTGAGGAGACCTAGTTGCAGGCCATGCTTGCTGGGGTTTGTCTCCAGAGTCGGCTCTTATTGCAGTGCTAGGGACTAGCCATTGCAGTCTCCACCTGATTGTGAGGTGGGAAGCTCTTGAGAACTAGAGATTGAGAGAGCAAAGTTGTGTTGAATTGGTTATTTTGTTGTTTTTGGTGGGACTGGGGTTTGAACTCAAGGCTTCACACTTGCAAAGCACACACTCTACTATTTGAACCATACCTCCAGTACGTTTTACCCTGGTTATTTTGGAGATGGTGTCTTGTGAAATCTTTGCCCAGGCTGGGCTCAAATGGCGATCCTCTTGATCTCAGCCTCCCTGGTAGCTAGGATTACAGGTATGAGCCTCTGGTGCCTGGCTTGAGCTGGGTTTTTTCCAGGGCACTGGGGGTGGCATGGTGTTTCTCACAGTGAACACTAGTTCATATGTTGTTTTCCTGGCCTCAGGCGGAAAGTGCTCTACCAGCGTGCACCCAGAAATATCCACCGCCATGTGATCCTCTCAGAGATCAAGGAGGCTGTTGCAGCTCTGCCCCCGGTAAGCAAGAATGCTGAAAATGGGGGCTTTGTGTGTACCCGTCAGGTGTGCTCACATACTGGCATGGAAACAGAGCTGAGCTAATGCAGAGGGCTCTTCTCAGCTGGCTGGATGTTGGGCACAGCCAGGTCCCACTGTGCCATGGCTTTGATGAGCTGCTATACCATGGCATCAGGCCATGTGCCACTCTGCAGTAGGGCTGGCCTTGCCCTTACTGCCCCTGTACTATGCTTGTGGTGGAGCATTGTCTGCTGCTGTCTGAAAACCTAGAGGGATGCGACTGGAGAAGCAGGAAGTGTGGCAGGCCTGGGTGGCCAGACTACAGGCTGCATAGTTGAGGGCTCCCCAGCACCTCCTGATTTGATTGCAAGCTGCCCTGCTGGTCTTTAGGGCCATCACTGCCAGCCTCATCTCAGGCATGAGCCTCTCCTTCAGTTTTTTGGGTTGCTTTTTTTTTTTTTTCTTTTGCAGTACTAGAGTTTGAACTCAGGACCTACACTTTGACCCACTCCACCAGCCCTTTTTTTGGAAAGGGTTTTTTCGAGATAGGGTCTTACAAACTATTTGCCCGGGCTGGCTTTGAACTGCAATTCTCCTGATCTCTGCCTCCTGAGTAGCTGGGATTGCAGGTTTGGGCTACCAGCCCAAGCCTCTACTTCTAGTCAACACAGCACAACACTCTGAGTGGGGGCTGAGGGTGGAACAGCTGGTGTGCTAGCAGCCCTGTGTGACCCAGTAGCTCTTGTCTCTAGCCCAGGGTTCCACTCACTGCAGTCATTTGTGACACACATGAACAGTTCTTGTGTTTGCTTCTTTCCCCATACCCCACTGAGCAAGTGGGGTGATTGTGGCAATCGCCCTGCTGGAAGAAAGGCCACCCCACCCCTACCTGAAGCTTCTTGTACAGAAAACAACCATTTCTGCTAGATGCTGTGGCCATCTCCCAGCATGCTTCAGCATCTCTGTTTTATGTCCCTTTTGAAGGATGTGACCACGCAGTCTGTGATGGGGTTTGACCCTCTGCCACCCCTGGACACCATCTACTCCTACGTCAGACCAGAGAGGTACCTACCCCTGCTTTGCTGTCATGCTTGCACAGACCCAGGTCAGGACTTTGGGGTACGCTGGGTTTGCTGCCTGGCACACCAGGAGGAAGGAGGTAGACACGGGCATTCAGAGGGGCATCCCAGTGTCTGAGCACTTCTGTTGGGTTCTGTAGCAGGTGTGAGAAATACAGTGGGAAGCAAAATAAGAAACTACTTCTGGAGTGAAAAAGGAATGGATACGATCAGGGTACTTTATATATGTGCATGGAGATAACTGCAGTGAAACCACTCTGTACAATTAGTGTATACTGATTGTAAAAATGAAGGAAAAAAAAAAAGCACTTCTGCCTTTGTGGAGTGCACCATGCAATAGGTAACAGACATTAAAAGAACCTAGAGATGAAAATCAGATTGAAACCATAGTGAAAGCCTGTTGGGAGAGTAGTGTGAAAGGAAGCACGGGCCCTGGCCAGGCAGAAGATGGGGGCTGATGCTCTAGCAGTAGAGTCAGCAGGTGCACAGAGCCTGTGCTGAGAGGTAAGGGCAAGGCCCATGTAGCTGGGCTAGGAGAGCAGGGCAGTGGGATGAGAAGTGATGTGGAATCACATCAAGCATAATTTGTGGGCACCTGTTTGCATATGTGCAGCTTTTGGAATCCGAGTCACGAAAGGCCTCTCCCTTCCCTGCTGGCCTTCAAAGCAGGGTAGTTGCCTTGTTCAGACCTGTCACCCCTCAGTCCATCTCCAACAGTTCCTGGCGGTTCTCCCTCTTTTTTTGGCAGTATTGGGTATTGAACTCAGGGCCTTGTGCTTGCTAAGCAAGCCTTCTACCACTTGTGCCATGCCCCATCCCTTCTTAAGGGAGTGTGTGCCTGCTAGACTTTGGTGGGACATGTCAAGTAGAGTAACAACCTTTTATACCCACTGAATTCTCTTATAAAACTTGGACTGCTTTGGATGGGCGCTGGTGGCTCACACCACCAGCTACTAGCTCCTAGTAATCCTAAGCTACTTAGGAGGCAGAGATCAGGAGGATCTCAGTTTGAAGCCAGCCCGGGCAAATAAATAGTTTGCAAGACCCTATCTGGAAAATACCCATTACAAAAAAGGACTGGTGGAGTGGCTCAAGTGAAGGCCCGGAGTTCAAACCCCAGGACTGCAAACAAAAAGAAGAAAAAAAAAAAAAAAAAAAACTTGGACTACATGTTCGTGAGGAGATTGTTCCCTATTAAATTCTCCAGTAGATGAAGATGAAATGTTTTTATGTCTGTGGGTACCGACACGTCCCAACCAGCATGGTGAATGCAGCGCTTTGCTTGTCCTCACCCACCCCAGAGCATAAGTGTGGTCACAGTGTACATCAGAACTAGGCACAGGCCACATGTCACCAGCAGGGCCCTCCCTGCCGTACCATTGCATCTCCTGACTTTCTTTACATGCTCCCTCCAACCTCCACAAACTGAGAGAGCATTGAAACCACAGCTCTTCCTGTGAGCAAGGTGCCTGGGTCAAAACCACGACAGCCCGGCCAGCATCCTTAGATACCCCTCTCTTTCCCTCATTGCCCTTAAGTGTCCACAGTTCCATCTAACCTGGTCAGCACTGTCCACCACAGGACCTGGTCTGTTGTCTGCAACCTAGGGGCTCAACTCCACACAGCAGCTGCTTGCCCCCAGCAGGTGGCAGGGCTGTTTAAGTGTCTATTAAGCTTCCTTTTCTGACCTTCCTTGACTTTCTCTTTCAGGCTAAGTCCTGTCAGCCACGGAAACACAATTGCCCTCTTCTTCCGGTCATTATTGCCAAATTACACCACAGAGGTATGTTGAGCGTGTCTTAGCCTCTTCTGCTGAGTGGGTGTGGGCATGCTCATCAGTGCAAGTATCTGAAACCAGCCCTGGGCCACACAGGGCAGGGCAGGGCTGAGGCTGCATCCTGCCCAGGGCATGCAGTCTACAGGGGAAGTGTGGACTTGCCTCTTGGAAACTGCAGCTGCCATTCCAGGATGAGCCCTGTGAGGCAGGGTGGCTGCTCAGCCCCATAGTCCAGGGCTTGGATTAGACATACGTGTTTGGCTTGCCAGGGACCTTGGAAGAGCCAGGCCCAGTGCTAGGGTGTGGGCTGCCCTAGGCTTCACAGGTACCTCCCACCTGGGCCCCAGATCCCTAGTCTTAGCACAGACAGTCCCTGCTCAGATGTGTCTTACTGCACAGGGGGAGAGGCCAGAGGAAGGAGTGGCTGGGGGTCTGAACCGCAACCAAGGCTTGAACAGACTGATGCTGGCCGTGCGGGACATGATGGCCAACTTCCACTTCAATGACCTGGAGGCACCGCGAGAGGACAACCCTGAGGGAGAAGGGGATTGGGACTGAGCCGTCTGCAGATGCTGTTCCCAGCGCTGTGCAATTATGTTCCTGATTTCTGTTGTGGTCAGAATTAACCTGTTCCCTGAAGTAGAAAAGCTGAATGTATCATCAGCCTGCATCTTCATTCCCCTATAAATGTAAATGGGCCATGTTCTGCTGTGGATGAGCTCTCCTTCCAGTACCCTGGGGATCCAGTCTCGGCATTGTCTTTACAGCAAGCCCCGGGGGCAATGTGGGACCCACACCCAGGATTTGGGACCCCGGGTAAAGGGCACCACACGGTCTCCATTGCAGGCTCCCTGCTGCACACCAAGGGCCTCCACCCACATGCTACTCATTCATGTAGGGTCTCAGGCCTTGGGGGAACAGAGGCACCCACATCATAGCCAACCCTCAGTGCCATGCTTCAGTTCTTCTGAGTAGCTTGGGGCTGATGTGTTGGGGTCCCTCCGCTGGATGCCACAATACGTCCAGTCTGGAAAAAAGAAAAAAAAAATGGTGGACTGAGCCATCTGTTGATACTGTGTCAGAATCTGCATTCCTGGGGATGGCACCTGAACATGCTAAGCACACACTGGACTACTGAGCTACTGAGCTACACTCCCAGCCCAATAATTCTATTAGGAAACTTGATAGGAGTGCACAGAGTTGAAGGGGAGACCAACAAGTTTTGGGAAGAAACTTGTTCTGGGCAGGTCAGGGAGTACATGGCAGAGACCAGGAAATGAGTGCTGGGAGTGTTGACCAAGAACCCCAGCCCAGGGGGAGGGCTCGCCAACTCACTGGGTCCTCACTTATCTGGCCACACACAGGCCTCAGATTATCACTGTACCTGACCATGGAAGGACAGAGGTTGCAGCCAGAAAAAGCTAGAGGCCTGTGACTCAGAAGCCCACCTGCTTCTGGAAGATTCCTGGACATCCCTCAGAACCCTGACCTTCCTCCCCCAGGAGGCTGCAGATGAGACAGAAGGTCGAACCCATATCCTGGCTTACTGCCTGTGTCTGCAAGACCCTACTGCTGTTCAAGCTGTCCCCATAGGTTGTCTGGTGACCTCAGTAAGACAGGCACCCCTCCAGAAGTTCCTGATAGGGTGGTCCTGGTCCACTGTCTTAGAAGGCCCCACTGTTGTTTCAGCTGTCCCTGTGAGTTGTCTGGTGGCCCTGGTGGGACCCTTCCAGAAGTTTCCTTCAGGCCAGGGCCTAGTAGCTGAGCAGGAGCCCAAGGGACTGTGCTCTCAACAACACAGGACTGATAAGCTGGGCTCTGGGCTGGCCATGTGTGGGAGGGGCACAAGAAATCATGGCTGTGACTGAGGCCTGTGCCTTGTGCTCTCTGGTGAGAGCTAGATGTTAAGAGGAATTGCTACATCCCCGTTCCTCTTTCTGGCTCAAATCAGCCAGTAGAGGTGTTGAGGGTACGTACAAGCTGTGCTGCTTCACAAATGGGTCAGCGGGAGACTGGGGAGGGCAGGCCTTTCTTAAGGAGGCAGTCACCACCCCTCTCCCCTTGCCAACATAACTGGGTATGGTGGGGGATCTGCCCAGCTCCACGAAGTCGACACAATTAGGATGAGTCTAGCCTAAGCCTGTTTTATGTACACATCCCAACTTCCACAGCTGAGAAAAGCAAGGAGAGCCTAGCACTCATCCATTCAGGTAGAGATGAGAGATGTGATACCTGGAGCTGTAGCAGCCAATCCAGGAGTAGTGGTGCACCTGCACCTCTCTGGACCCTCAACCTCCAGAGAAGACTCCTGTGTGCTCAAGGGTAGGACTGCTGGCCAACTGCCCTTTACCAGCTCAGGGCAAACATGAAGGAAAACACCTGTTTGCCATATCCCAAATGGAAAGTTCATAGGAGGCCAGTGGCTCTCAAACTAAGACATGGTAACCACCCTTCTTGAGAGGCTGTGCTGGCCTCTGAGAAGAGCCAGAGGAGCAGTTTGACACTGCCTAAAGGCTTCAGCCTCCTAGGCCAGTCAGCGACTCCCTGTCCCTGCGGGGCCTGGCTCAGTGCAGGCAGCTCCTTGTTCTGTAGAGGCTCCCCAACTGGTCTGCACACAGAGCGTGTGCTGTGCAGCCCGCAATGCGCCTGGCCTGCCACAGGAGGCAGGTACACAGCCAGGAAGCTCCTCTTGGCAGCTTGTGTGGGGTGCCACTGACCAAGGGAAGGGCAGTGTGCTCTTGGTGTTCCCCACCGAGTATACCCCAGGGACACTAAGAGATGAAATTTGAAATGCAGTTAGCCTCAAGCTATCTGACTCCATCCAAGGCTGGTGTTGCCTCCCCTTTCCCTACAACCACAAAGCTGACAGCTCAGCTTTACCCTTCTCACAGACCCCTGAACAAGTGTAGCCGATGGAATCCGAGGTGGGAAGTCCTGAGGCAAGGTCACCCCATTCCCGATCGCCAGGAGGAAGGATGTGCCTTCTGCCAGAGGCCAGATTCTCAAGCCCTTTGAAGTCAGGTTGGAATGGGGTGAGTGCTTGCCTCTCAAAGGCTTCATTATGGTGCTGAAATTACCAGCGCCCCTGGAGTGTGACATCACAGGAAACTGGGGCTCACTTGTGCCTGAGAGATGGACAGTGATCTGCACCTGATGGATGTCTGGACACCACGTAGTTTTAGGGTCAGTGATGCCAGCAGTCTCATGCAGACTCTCATGCAGAGAGTCAGTCTACTTCCGCCAGCTATGCATTGCTGCCTCATCAGACCTGGGACCCTTCACCCCCTTGGCAGTTGTCAGTAGGGAGCAGAGTGAGGGTCAGGATGTGGGAGGCAGCAAGCTGAGCTGGAGGGGTGGCAGTGTGGGCCCATCTTCCATACTGGTTTCCCTGGAAGCCTGGCACTCAGCACGGAGTACTCATTCTCTACAGGATTAACGGGGTGCATGAAGGTGTGTGTGTAGCCAGAAAGAGAAACAGGTCTACCAATTTGGAAAATGGTCTGAAGATGAAGATAAGCCTCTTACCCCTGCAGTTCCATTGCCAGGTGTCATATGCACACGCTGTGTCCTCGCAGAAGATGGACATCCCAGCAGCACTGTTACAGGTTGTGGCCAGAGCTACCCAAATGTCCACTGCGGTCTGTTTAGATGACAGACACTAGTTTTAGTTACCTGCGATAACAGGATGAAGCCAATAGTAAGGATGAATTTGAGCAAACAGTACAAACGGAAGGGTCCAAACAAAGCATTCAAAGATGGGCAAAGTTAACCTATGCTGCTGGAGGACATCACAGTGGCTCATGGGGGGGGCAGGAAGGTCTGAGGTGGCTCTGATACAGCCATGTCATATTATTGATCTAGGTGCTGCTTTTCTGCCTGTGTTCGGGTTGGGGCATCTGTCTACCTGTTTTTGTCATCTATGTACCTTTACATATATTGTACTTAGTAAACTGCCTGTGTACCCAGGCTGGCCTTGAACTCAAGATCCACCTACCTTGGCCTCCTGAGTGCTGGGATTACAGATGGGCACCACCATGTCCAGCTAATAAGTTTTGTTTTTTAAATGAAAGCAAAAGGAGAAAGATCTGTAAGTTGCAAACTACAGATGTAAGAGATGATTGTGTAGGAATTTGTTATTGGATTACACTTTAGCCCCTGCTTCTCAGGGCCCAGCCTTGCTGAAGTGGAGCAGTACCCCCTCCTCTTTGCTGTAGTGCTGGGGGGGCGCTATTTTCTCCTGGGAGCTGACTGGCTGGAGGGCATCCTGGTGCCATTCGCCAGTCACGTTGCTTCTTGCTCACCCTCATGGGAAGGGCAGCACGCAGCTGCCCACCCTTTCCTGGTGGTGCCCCATTTCCGCTGCAGAGAACATGCAGGCCCTGGAGCCAGGAACCACATCAGGGCAGACCTCTTGTCTCCAACCTTGGTGGGCCAGCAACCCTGCATAGTGCCCTGCAGGCCATTCGCAGTGGTCAGGACAGGATGTGGGAAGGGACAGTGCACACCCACTTCCAGCCTCTGCTACTCCCTCAATTCCTCCCAATTTCAGATGGGAAAACAAGGCAAAGAAAGATAGCACTGGCATTAGAGCCAGGCTAGAGGATGGCTACAGTGTTTTCTATCCCTGGTATTTGTATTAAAATCCATTCTGTCTCATCCATCCAGCTGCCTGACACCTTGTGGCCATTAGTGCTCATATGCCACAGCCCCCAAATCTACTTCAGGAGCCAAGTTGCTGTTATATGTGCACATCTCAGCTGGGAATGGGTGGTGCTGCCTGGGTGGTGTGAGAGTGGGCCTGGGTGTGCCCAATCCACAGTGGTGATTGCCTCAGGCACAGCAACTGGGGGAGGGGAAGGGGCTGCAGGGCAACTTCAGGAAGAAGGTGACTTTGACATGAGTCTGGAGGAAGGTTAGGAGTTTGGCAGATGGGGACAAATGGAACAGGTCCTGGGGAAGCTTGTATACATGAATGAGAGGCAGGTCAGTAGCACAGGCAACCAGGCAAGGTGGAAGTTTGCAAGGGTTTTGAATGCAAAGGTTGATGCTGTGCTGTGTGCAAGGGGAGGAATGATGAGGGGTGGGGTTGGGTCCCAGGCCTCTGAGTGCTGCTCATGCACCCTCTGGTGGCAGGCTGGGTGCTGGGGGGGTGCTCACACATTCTGGGCACAGCCCGTCATGTGGCCACCCTCGGAAGGTGGGGCTCTGTGGAAAACTTTAAAGCAGCAAAGAAGGGCTCCATTCTTCCTGGGATCTCAGTCCACCCCTAGCCCAGAGAGGAAGGAGGCTGGGCAGAATTATCAGAGGCAGGTGACCAGAAGCTGGGAGGAGGTGAGAGTCTTAGAAATGTCCCAACCTGAGCTACCTCTAGGGAGGAGGTGGGGTGGGTAGTGGAGGTACAGGCTTGTTCACACCGGCAGTGAAACTCTTGTGAACAGAAGATCCACACTGCAGAGCTCAGGGTCTTAGCTGGGAAGTGTCTGGACTCTGCCTGGGCTGGGCAAGTGTGAGGACAAATCTGGGGATGACTAGATGTAATGAGGCAGACATGGGAGGGAAAGTCCCGAGCCCTCCCGATGGTACCATGAGCTGAACAGGACACCTTGAAAGTGACACCAGTTGGAGCTGGGGCCTCCATTGCCCCTTCCTGTTCCCTGGTACGGATGATGCCTGCGCAAGGACCCCAGAGGAGGCTACTGGATTCCCTCAACTCCACCCCTACAGCCACCCCCTACCTCGGGCTGGCCACCAACCAGACAGGACCCTGGTGCCTGCAGGTGTCCATCCCGGATGGCCTCTTCCTCAGCCTGGGGCTGGTGAGCTTGGTGGAGAATGTGCTAGTGGTGGTCGCCATCGCCAAGAACCACAACCTGCACTCACCCATGTACTGCTTCATCTGCTGTCTGGCCCTGTCTGACCTGCTGGTGAGCGTGAGCATTGTGTTGGAGACCACTGTCATCCTGCTGCTGGAGGCGGGTGCCCTGGCCACACAGGCTGCTGTGATGCAGCAGCTGGACAATGTCATTGACGTGCTCATCTGTGGCTCCATGGTGTCCAGTCTCTGCTTTCTCGTTGCCATTGCTGTGGACCGCTACATCTCCATCTTCTACGCTCTGCGCTATCACAGCATCGTGACGCTGTCCAGGGCACGGTGGGCCATCATGGCCATCTGGGTGGCCAGCATCCTCTCCAGCACCCTCTTCATTGCCTACTACAACCATACAGCTGTCCTGCTCTGTCTTGTCACCTTCTTTCTGGCCATGCTGGCACTCATGGCAGTTCTGTATGTCCACATGCTCACTCGGGCATGCCATCACGCCCAGGGCATCACCCGGCTACACAAGAAGCAGCGCCCCACCCACCAGGGTTTTTGTCTTAAAGGTGCTGCCACCCTCACTATCCTCCTGGGCATTTTCTTCCTATGCTGGGGCCCCTTCTTCCTGCACCTCACACTCATTGTCCTCTGCCCCCAGCACCCTACCTGCAGCTGCGTCTTCAAGAATCTCAACCTCTTCCTTGCCCTCATCATCTTCAACTCCATCGTTGACCCCCTCATCTATGCCTTCCGCAGTCAGGAGCTCCGTATGACACTAAAGGAGGTGCTGCTGTGCTCCTGGTGAGCAGGGAGGTGGCTTTTGGTTTCACAGCTAGGGTGCTGGGCAGAGGGAAATGATGATATCCAGTGGCCTGATTCCTGTGTGACCACAGGTAACCCCTTCCATTCCTAGTCCCTGTTTCCTAACAATGGACTAGATGAACTCTAAAGATATGGGAGCACAGACCATCTGGGAACAGGGAGAAGTGTAGCAGGGTCCTCATTGGCAGTTGTGGGGGATGGAGGAGGCTGGGATCCTTGAGACTGAGCATAGGGACGGACTCTGAAGAGACAATCTCTTTTAGAGAGCTCCACCTCCAACCAATGACTAGGCAACACTTACCCCAGTTTTTGCTGCCTTCACTTGCTGGGACAGCAAGTCTTTGGACTGAAACAGTGATGAGAGCCCCAGAGGAGCACTGCTCCCTGTGAGGGTCTCAGGAGAAGAGGCTTTGTGACCAGAAGGATCCAGCCACAACCACAAAGTGGGCTGTTTCAGGAGGGTAGCTCCCTGCCTCAGCAAAAGGACTAGATTTGCAGGACTGGTGCCTTGCACAAGGAGTCTACTAGATTTGCACAGAAGAGGTGGGACTGACCCCTCTGAGAGCCAGCTCTAAGGCTCCAGGGAACAATGAGAGGAGGGGACATGGCTGTTTGCCATATTCACCCCAGGCAGGTGACTCCAGCAATGCCTACTCTGGCTGCAGCAAAGGCTGTTGACTTGAATCAGTGACCAAGGCCTGGGGCTCAGAGCCAGGAAACATGCTGGTAAATGCTGTGCTCAGGTGTGGCCTCATCACCATCTGCTTTGGCTCCTTCCAGAAGTTGCTTAAAGTGTGAGTGGGGGAGGGCAGGGATAAGAGTCAGGAAGGGGAGAAGAGAGTCCCAGAAGCCATGTATGCCCACCTAGGTCAGGAAATCACAGTCCTGAAGGACACTGAGTGCCCATGAGAAGAGTATGGAGACTCCAATTGGGCCTACTAGCTCCTGCTTCTTAGCTTTGTCTCTGTGGTTATAAACCCCAGCTCAGAACAAGGGGACCCAGGCTCAGAACACATGCTCATCCATCACCTCTATGGTGACACTGTCTAGAATGTCTTCAGCTCAACTACACACTGCAGCAGCAGTCCCAGCCCCTGAGGTGACCCAATTGTAACCTTGGACAGACATGTCCTTTCCTGGATCCATTACTGCAACCCCTTCAGCCATGGCACACAGTGAATAGGACCATCACCCACATCCACTCTGAGCTGCCTCAGGAGCCTGTGGTGCAGTGTAGGCCAGGGGCTGGGATCTGCTCTCTGCCCAGCATTACCCTCCTGGGAGTGGAGTCAATGTTCTGCCAGTCCTGGGAAGTAGACGACCTCTGTGGATAGGGGAAGGCTGCCTGGAGCTCAGGGGTGGCCAAGTCCAGGAAGTGGCATGTGGGGTGAAATACACTACCTGGTGCTAGGGGTGGCAGAACCCCCGAGCCCTTCTTCAGCTGCTACTTATGTTTCTTGCTTCAGCGCCCACCTGGGGTCCTCCACAGATGCTGAGCACTCAGTCAATCTCCTCCCTGTGACAGGGAGTGAGGGCTGAGGTGCCCTCAGCCACCTCTGAGGCAGGTCTAGAAAGCTGCCCTTGGCCAGCCCAACCCATGCTGTCAGCTCCAGCCCTGGCTCCTGGCCTCAGGATGAGAGCTAGTTCCCGGCAGGGCCAGCCTTTGCTGGGAGACAGGACCATGAGTCAGCCTTCAGCCTGGCACCAGAGCCCTCTTGGGACTGAGGGGAAGCTGGCTTGGCCTGATGCCATCCCAGCAGGAAGGCAGCCCAGCTCTATATGATGCTTTCATCCTCAGACAAGGAGGCAGAGCCAAAAATGCTCACCCAGGACCCCCTGAATGGAGACAGCTGGAAATCAAGCCCAGAAAGTCACATCATGGACACACTGTGGGGAGGTGCATCGCTTGAGAACAAAAGGCCCATTTCTAAACTCACCAGACCGGGAGCTTCTGAGAGCAGTGACATGCACGGCCCATCATACAGCACCATCCTGTGCATAGACTGGACACAGGCACCTGCAGCTTGTGAAACATGCTATGTGTGGATCACCCATATCCCATAGTGCTGTCTGAGACCCATACTGAAGGATCTCTGTCATTGAATGTCAGAAGGACCTAATTATAAGGTGTCTCTGCAACATGTGAGCCCAACCCAGGCACCAGTGGCTCATGCCTGTAATCCTAGCTACTCAGGAGGCAGAGATTAGGAGGATCCGGTTTGAAGCCAGTCCAGGCAAATAGTTTGGGAGACCCTATCTCGAAAACACCTAACACAAAATGGGCTGGTGGAGTGACTCAAGGTGTAGGTCCTGGGTTTAAGCCCCGGGACTGCAAAAAAAAAAAAAAAGAAACCCACATGAATATAAAATCAGTCATGTATATGTGCATACTGTTCTGCATACATTGCATGTCCACTTCATCCTCTTGTCCCCTTCTGACCACTAGACTGTTCTACACTAGTTGGTCCTCCAAGGGCAACTTCATACACGCAGTCTCCCTGTATAGTTCCAGTTGGCTCCAGACCTTCTCATCGCTCTTTTATCAAGAGTCCAAGGGTACAGGGTGATATTAGAGAATAAGTCAGACAGAAAGCACTGCCCACCATCCTCCATCCATATCCTGGCTTGTGGCTCCTCATGATAATTCCTGACGTCAATATTCATGGACTAGGGGCTATTTGCCAGGCACTGTGCATATCTGGGGGTACAAAGTATATCCAAGGTTCATTTGGGTCCTCGCTGCAGTCCCTTGGGGCACTAGGAACAGGAACACCCTCCACCGCAGAGAACAGAGACAGATGGACATAACCTGCCGCCCTCCTATAGCCACATCCTCCAATGCTTGCATTCTTCTCTGTGGTTCAGCGCCCGCTCCAGCTTTTCCTGCCGCGCCCATCCCAAGGGACCGGGAAAGCGCAGAGTACCGAAAGACAGGGATGGCAGAAAATGGGGGTTGCTTCCTAAACGAATGTGCAGGCCAAAGACCCTCCTCACAAAGCCGCAGGGTGGGGCTGCCGTTGGGGTGGAACTCGAGAGGGCAGCTGCGGGGGCAGGAATGCTAAGAACTAACGGGGCTTCTATTGTCCTCCCTGGAGTCCGCCGCCCAAACGGCAGGCCCCTCCTTTCGAAGGCGTGGGTCGGGCGCGGCGGTGTCCGCATGGCTGGGGCAGGCGCCGCATTGTGCGGGCGGAGCGGGATGCGCGGTGCTGATGCTGCAGAGCCCTGCCGCATTCTGCGGCGGCGCCTCGGGATTGGCCCGCTGCGCTGACGTCAGCCGGCGGGGGCGAGGCTGCGGCTATAAGAGCGCGCGGCGGGGGCTGCCCACTCTCCGCAGCCCGCAGTCCTCTCTCGTTTCGGAGCCGCCAGCCAGACGCAGCCAGCATGAGGGAGATCGTGCACATCCAGGCCGGCCAGTGCGGCAACCAGATCGGGGCCAAGGTGAGGCCGCGCCACCCCCGCCGCTTGCAATCCCGGCGCGCGTCCCCGCGTCCGGACCCAGCGCCGGCCCTATGGAGGGTGGGGAGGAGCCACGCCCGCCCTCCTAGCAGGAACAAAGGGATTAGCCCATCCCCGCGCCGGGAGACAGGGGCGATGGGGTCCCCGCCCTGCGACCCCCACCCGTCCCTTACTACTGCTACCCTACCCAGGTGACTGCAGGCGACCAGGGCTGAGCACACGCCAGCGCTAAACCTCAGCTCCATCCACGTCTGCACCCTCCCCTACGGGCCTCAGCAGGCGCGGCTGGGGGCGCTGTCTGGGCGTGGCCCCCCCTTGGGGTTGCAACTTATCCTTGAGTGAGATGGGTGGGCGCGGCAGCTTTGGGTGGAGCTGTCCCTGAAAGCCATGACTCCCTTTTGCCTAAATCCCCTCTGGAAGAAAGGAATGTTGTCCAAGAGGCAGAGCCTTCCTCTTGTCTTGCTTTGACAACCCTCAGCTTCCTAGCCCCACCCTATTCCTTTGTTGGAGGAGTTGGGCCTGGACTCCGTGACCTTGGTCCAGAACCAGACTCTCCGTCGGCCCAGCCCTGCCTGGGCAAAGTCACCCTCCCCCCCACCAGGGACTGGACCGCGCCCACCCAAGGCCTGCCACTCGGGATTGGATACGGAAACAAAGCCCAGCTGCAGGGAGTGGAGGGCTGCGTCCCCGCTGGGCTCTTGCCCTCTATTGTTAGCCCACCTTACAGATGTTGGGGCTGAGGCAGGAAGAGGCGTTGGTGCAGCGACTCTGCAGGGAGCCTCAGGAGGTGACCTCATCCTCACCCAAACTCGCGAAGCAGCTGCCCTATTCCAAGTCGTGGGGGTCTTGTCTCTTGCTCAAGGTCACACAGCAAGTGGAAGACAGCGCCGGCTGCCTAGGCTACCCTCTCAGCTGTCAGTCCCCTGCAGACGCCCAACCTGAGGGTGGGTGGGTGGGACCTGCTGCCTTAAGGGATTTTCTCACAGAACAATATGGGGGTGGGGGCGCTTTCTCAGGACCCAGGAGCCCGGGGACCCAGCTTAGGTGTGGAACTGTTCCCTGAAGGAGGCAGTGGGGGAGACAGGTCCTGAAGGGGAAGGGGCCAGGCAAAGACGTCGCTGGAGGCTGTTGCCATGGAAACAAGGCAGGAACAAAAAGCTAATTACAATGGGCTGGGGCAGCCACGTGGCTGACATGTAAATTGCTAGTTTGGTTCTAGGGTGTAGGTGCCTCTGAGGGGGAGGAGGCGATGCCAGGGAGACTCCCTAATCACAGAGGAGACAGCTGTGCCTGGTTTAGAAGGGGGCTTGGGGAAGGGGAGGCCTGGGGCCAGGAGCCTCAGATCCAATCAGGACTCCTGGGGCAGTTGCTGACAGCTGCCCTGGCCTGAAGGGAGGGGCTTAGGGCTCATTAATGTGGTCACAGGGGCCAGGGCTTCCCTGAACATCTGCTCTTAGGAGGGTCAGGAGCTGGGGGGGGGGGGGGCAGGGGGACAGGAGGGAGGGCTGGCAACCCTGAGGCCTGACTGGTGACCTTCCTTCTATTGCTGGGACTGGCCTACCACAGGCTTATATCAGGCAAAAGCTCAGGGCCTAGCAGTCAGGTCCACACCCCATGCTCCTCCTGAGATTCTGTGGGCTGCAGGACCCAGGCAGCTGCCTGAGTACTGGACACTGAAATCTGTGTCTCAGCCTGTGTCCCTTAGGTTTGCCAGTTAGTTTTTATTCCTTTGGGACTGTTTTTCTTAATTTCCATTCAAAAACTTTGGGTTTTTTTGACAATGGATTCATTTTCTGGAGAAGGGGTAGTTTGAACCGTTTTCACTGCTCTCCTTTGTGGTAGTCAATTGAAATAGTTTAGCAGTTTCTGTCCGGTCCCCAGTGACCAGACTGGAGGGCCAGGCCCTGTGTGTGGGATTTGCCTGCTTAGCATTCGCCCCAGACAACAGGAAACTTCTTGGCCATTTTTACTTCCCATTTCTGTAGCTGGTTGTAAGGTCCCTGGCATGGTCTGCATTGGGGTTAGGGGGCCATTTTCCCCTGCTCATAACCACCAGCCAGCTGATTGGGTGGGCAACAGGGGCTACTTTCCTGCTTGTAGGTCCTTGGGTGATACCTGGTTCAGCACAAAGGGCCACAGGCTCTAGGGAAGCAGCTGGCTGGGGGGTGGGGAGGGGCGAGGCAGCACTAGAGTTCTGAGGCTAGAGCAAACACTTCTAAAGCAGCAACAAGAGCTCGTTAGCGATTCAAACAATTAACTGTGGATAGTGTGTAAAAGCACTGTACTAGGTGCTTTTATACCATCATCTCAAAGGATGTGGGAAGATGGGAATCACCCTCCTCCAAGGCTGAGAAAACCGCAGTTTCAAGGAGTGAATTACTTGCCTGGGATCATACCATGGACTGGCAAGGCAGGAGTTTTAGTCTATATATCTGTATAGGCATGTCAGATATGGGCGGGGACCCCCCCCCACCCCCGCAATCCAACAGGAGCAGATGTGACTGAGCCCCCCGCCCCCCTCGTGGTTTTCTTTGCTGGGGTCTGTCTGGGCTCCTGACCTCATTCTCCTCCCCTAGAGGGGCGAGGCAGTCTAGGAGCTCTCTGCAAAGTGTCTTCATGGATATGGAGTCTTTGTCTGCACCCGGCTGGGTGCAGGAGTGGCCTCCCCTTGGCCACTGGGCGGGGTCTCTGGAGGGGGCGGTACCCTGCTTGATAGCCAATAGGATAGGGTATTCCCGCCACACCCCCGCCAGCAGACAGGCTGGGCACTCAGTGTCCTGGGATGGGGGTGGGTGGGAGCTTAAACGTCCTCGGGAGCCGCACACCTCACTTGGTTTTTTTGGTTCCCATCCTGCCGCTGCCATTGTCCTCTGAGGCCCAAGTACTGGTGCGGCAAAGGGTCAGCACCGCGGACAGCACCTCACCCCTACACTAGACAGAAACTAGGGTCCCAACGAGACTGGGCAGGCTCCTGGGGTACATCATTACCTGGTAGTTGCCTTTTCTGTGTTGATCTATTTAATTTTCAGAATCATATTCCATTATTAAATACTACATAATATAGTTTACTGATAAGATTTTATTTTACTTTTTTTTTTTTTTTTTTTTTTGTGAACTCCAGGCTTCAGACTTACAAAGCAAGCTCTCTACTGCTTGAGCCCCACCTCCAGTTTATTTTGCTCTGGTTATTTTGGAAAATGGGGTCTCAAAATTTGCCAGGAGCTAGTCTCCAGCTGTGATCCTCCTTATCTCAGCCTCCCAAAGTAGCTAAAATTTCACCAGCACCTGGTTTAATTACCCTTTTATTAGATTTTTTTGTTGTTGTTGTTTCTGGTACTGGGGCTTGAACTTAGGGCCTACACCTTGAACCACTCACCAGCCCTTTTTTTTGTGATGATTTTTTTTTTGAGACAGGGTCTTGTGAACTATTTGCCCAGGCTGGCTTCAAACTGCTATTCTCTTGATCTGCCTCCTGAGTGGTTAGGATACAGGAGTCAGCCACCAGCACCTGGCCACTTTTCTTAGTTTTATCTATGAGAACAGTTTTTAGTATATTCTTCCTGTAAAAAGTGATTTGTTTTTTCTCTTTTTTTGTGTGTGTTTTCTTCCTGTTTAAAAAAAAAAAAAAGTATGGGGATGTAGTTCTGTGGTAGAGCACTTGACTACCATGTATGAGGCCCTGGATTCAATCCCCAGGATCACGGAAAGGAAAGGAAGAAAAAGAAAAAGAAACATTATAGTGAGTTGGGCGTGGTGGTACACATCTGTAGTCACAGCTACTGGGTACTTGAGCCTAGGAGTTCAAGGCCAGTATGGACAATACATTGAGACCCTGTCTCAAAAATTTAAACACTGCAGATGAGAAAATGTAGCATTTAACTACCTTTCTCATCTAGCACCCCCCCCCAACAATATTAAAGGGTAGACAGTGAAAATTCTCTCCCTCAGCCCAGGACATGTCCTCTGGGACACATTTTTTCTATCTCTCTGGTCCATTTTATTTATGGCTTTATTCATAAGGCTTTACATTTTTTTTTTTTTTTTGTGATAGTACTTGGGTTTGAACTCAGGGCTTCCTGGTTGCAAGACAGGCATTCTACCATTGAACCACACCTCCAGCTGGCATTACAACTTTTAATATACCACCTAGGATATTTGAACAAATGAAGCCCATTTCTCTTGAGTGCTTTCATGTTCAGTCTGAGCTAGCCAAATGAGGACATAATGTCATGTCTGTCTTAACAGGTGAGGCTGGTCCAGCCACTTCACATTCTGTAAAGAACTTCATAGATGGAGTGGGGGTGTGGCTCAAGTGAGGTTCCAGGCCTGGAACCATGATCCTCCCTATCTAAGCCTCCCAAGTAGCTAAAATTACAGGCATGAGCCACAGGCACCCAGCTGACTTTATGTTTTCAAAAACAATTTTTAACTGGTCTTTTCTTTTTTATTTTTTTAAAAAAGCTAACATGCACATGATGAAATTCCAGCAGTACCAAAGGGTAGACATGTCCCCAGGCGCAGCTTTCTGTGTTTCTGTGAGGACTTCCTAATATAGATTAGCACATGCAAACTGTCTTTTAAACTGCTCTTGTCACTGAGCAATCTTTTCACAGCATATGACTCCTATATAGAGGCTCTTTGTTTCCCAGGCCTTCCTACCACTGACTCATGTGGAAGTCACTCCTGCCATGAGGACTACAAAGGAGGGCTGGGAGGGGTCTTGCAGCCCCAGAAGCCATACAGCATGTGACCATGCAGGCCTCCTGCCTGTCAGGACTTGTACCCCAGAAAAATGTCCTGGGATGAGGGACGAATGTTTGTGTTGGCCTCTGCTTGGGAGTCTGTGTGCATGAGCATGTTCAGTCAAGCATAACTTTGACCCTTTGGCACATGCTGCCCTGCCCATATGCTTTGCACAGAGTAGCTTATCGAATTCTCACTAGTGCCTGTTATCAGGCCCATTGTACAAATAGAACAGCAGGGCACAGAACCTTTGTGGTCTGCCTAAGGTCACATACCTGGGAAGAGATGGGGCAGGCTATGAATCCTGAGTCTAGACCATGCTCTGTACTGCCCTGTCCTGCTCTGCTACAGTCATGGGAGCAGAGTTTGAAAAGCACTGTGTGTTCTTGCCCAAAAGGAAACAGGTGAGCACAGTAGGTAGTGAGATGAGCCCTGGGAGTTGCCAGGCTCCATGTGGACGGGCTGAGTGACTCAGGGAAGACATTCCTCACTCAGGAGCCCAATTCCCCCTCTGCAGATCCAACAGGGGGCACTTGTTGGGAGCGGTTCCCAGGGTTCCTGTGGGTTGCGTTGCCTGAGGCCAGTGATTTGCCAGATACCGCTGGACCCTGTCACTGGGCACTATTTGTGCTGACACTGAGGGCCACACAGTGCGACCAAGAACATGATGCTGGATCCCAGGCCCGTATGTGCTCTACTGCCTGCTCTGGGCAGCTCTCTGCCTTCATTTTCTTGTCTGAAAAAAAGTTATATTAAAGATGACCTCATGAGGTGTTTGTCCCTTTGCCCACAAGTACAGAGCTGGGTCTGGGATCCTGGTCTGTGTGGTAAGCTTTTGCCCACCCTGAGGGCCCTAGTCATATCAGCCTGCACAATGCGGTAAATAGATGTGCATGTCTACTCTTTTCTAAAGTGTCAGCAGGGCTGGTGGGGGGAGCCCATGACCCTAATTTTGTACTGAGGGATTCAGGCTCCAGCAGGGAAAGGGTCTGGCCAGTGTTACAGCTGCCCGCTCACTCCTTTGCTCCCCATTGCTGCAGTTCTGGGAGGTCATCAGTGATGAACATGGCATAGACCCCAGTGGCAACTACGTTGGGGACTCGGACCTGCAACTGGAACGCATCAGTGTCTACTACAATGAGGCTTCCTGTAAGCACCTGCCAGGGCCCCATTCTGAGCCTGGGGAGAGGGCCTCTGGGTGGGTGGAGTTCTAGTATCTGACTCCTAGTTGCCCAAAAGGCAAGCAGGGGTGATTAGAGATTGGCCATCCAAACTCACAGATCTGTCATGGAGTGAGATCAAACACACTTACTGGCCATCGGGGGGTGGGAGTGGGGCAGGCAGGATATGAGTTGATGCATCCTGGGTGACGTGGGCAGGTACAGAGAAGGGGTGATGGTTTGATCAGGGGCTATTTGGCAACTGGTACATAGTAATTTCTATAGCAAACTGGTCACACTGACATGTGACTTGATCCTAGCTGTCCTAAATATCAACTGTTGTATACATAGAGAGGTTGGAACTCACCATGGATCATAAGGCCCTGGCCTTAGGGTAAGAACAGGAAGCTAGCAGGCCTAGGGCGGGATTCAGAGGGGAAGACCAGGAGCCCTTGACCCTATAACCCACATTACTGAGTGGCCTTCTCTCCTCAGCTCACAAGTATGTGCCTCGAGCCATCCTGGTGGACTTGGAGCCCGGGACCATGGATAGTGTCCGATCTGGAGCATTTGGGCACCTCTTTAGGCCTGACAACTTCATCTTTGGTGAGTTTCCCCTGCTCCATACTCTATGGCAGAGAAGCCTGGGGAACAGATGGGGCAACGGTCAGAAAGTTGACAAAGCCAGCCCCTACTGGGACCTTATAGGGTAAAAACTGACCCTTCCATTTTATAGGTGGGCATTAGAGGAGAGACCTAGAGAAAGGGTTCTTTGGGGGAATATACCACTCATGCATTTTAAACAGAATGAGCTGTAAAACACGAAAGTTTGCGGAGTTGGTACAGAAGCGGGGGCTTCCAGAGGACATGAGTTCATAGGCATGTGCAAAAAGTCCGAGTGTTCTCATGCCTGTCCTCCAGTGGCAGGCCCCTGATGCTTACAAAACAGGAAGAAGGCCTCCCTTCTGCCTTGGGACCCCAGCATACCCATGTGTGTGTTCCAGGTCTCAGCCAGTCCTGAGTTGCACGGGCTCTGGGGCTGCAAGGGAAGGGCTGAACTACATCCAGGATGTCCTCAGTAGACACAGCAAGTCTCTGGCTGATCCCAGATTCTCAGTTGACATGGCACCATGCAGCCAGGTCTCCAGCACTCCAAAGTGATACTCCAGGGCCAGCCATGGTTGTGTGCTCAGTGGGGTGCTCACTTTATAGAAAACAGAGATACTGTCTTCCCAGGTGCCCTCTGGGGTATTTGTGCAGGTCCTGGAAGTCTTTAGACCCTTTGACCCCTGTAACCTTCACCTCTTCTCCCCCCCACAGGCCAGAGTGGGGCTGGAAACAACTGGGCCAAGGGCCACTACACAGAGGGTGCAGAGCTGGTGGACTCTGTCCTGGATGTCGTGCGGAAGGAGTGTGAGAACTGTGACTGCCTACAGGGCTTCCAGTTGACCCACTCACTGGGTGGGGGTACAGGTTCAGGCATGGGCACACTGCTAATCAGCAAGGTGCGTGAGGAATACCCCGACCGCATCATGAACACCTTCAGTGTGGTGCCCTCGCCCAAAGTGTCAGACACTGTGGTGGAGCCCTACAACGCCACGCTGTCCATCCACCAGCTGGTGGAGAACACGGATGAGACCTACTGTATCGACAACGAGGCCCTGTACGACATCTGCTTCCGCACCCTCAAGCTTGCCACACCCACCTATGGGGACCTCAACCACCTCGTGTCAGCCACCATGAGCGGGGTCACCACCTCCCTCCGCTTTCCCGGCCAGCTCAATGCTGATCTACGTAAGCTGGCTGTGAACATGGTGCCCTTCCCCCGCCTGCACTTCTTCATGCCTGGCTTTGCGCCACTCACAGCCCGGGGCAGCCAGCAGTACCGCGCCCTGACGGTGCCTGAGCTCACCCAGCAGATGTTTGATGCCAAGAACATGATGGCTGCCTGTGACCCCCGCCATGGCCGCTACCTGACAGTGGCCACGGTCTTCCGTGGGCGCATGTCCATGAAGGAGGTGGATGAGCAGATGCTGGCCATCCAGAGCAAAAACAGCAGCTACTTTGTGGAGTGGATCCCCAACAACGTGAAGGTGGCCGTGTGTGATATCCCACCTCGTGGGCTCAAGATGTCCTCCACCTTCATTGGCAACAGCACGGCCATCCAGGAGCTGTTCAAGCGCATCTCGGAGCAGTTCACGGCCATGTTCCGGCGCAAGGCCTTCCTGCACTGGTACACGGGCGAGGGCATGGACGAGATGGAGTTCACGGAGGCCGAGAGCAACATGAATGATCTGGTGTCCGAGTACCAGCAGTACCAGGACGCCACAGCCGAGGAGGAGGGCGAGATGTATGAAGATGATGAGGAGGAATCTGAGGCCCAGGGCCCTAAGTGAAGCCGCTCGCAGCTGGAGCATGGGGCCAAATGGCAGCCAGGGCCAAGACAAGCAGCATCTGTCCTTCAGAGCCATCTTGCTACCAACACTGCCCCCAGCTTTGCTTCCCACCTGCTCAGCACGGCACCAGAGGGCTCCCAAGTTATGTCCTTCAGTATTTATGACCATTCCCACCCCAACATGAGTCCACTTGGCTCTGTCCTCCCCACATAGGACTCCTCTGTTTCTGTGTTGCTCATTTGTCTCTGTTTTATTGTGGCTCCAGGCCTGGTGTTTTATAGTTTGTTTTGGTTCTTACTGGTTTGTGTTTATATTTTGGGGGGATACTTAATAAATCTATTGCTGTCAGATACCCTTGTCTGGACCTGGAGATTTCTTTTTATTTTGGAAAAGAGGGGCCCCTAATAGGTCCAGCCGGGTAAGAAGAGCAGGCAGGGTGGTCAGGTCGGGGGGTAGCCCTCATCTCCCTGGCTGGTGACTGAGGCTGGTCTGTGCTAAAAGGGATCTCAAGGCACAGCCCAGGAAGTGGGAGAAGGTACAACCATGCCTGGATGAAGCCCTTTCCAAGAACCCCTAGCACATTTCTTGTGACTCAGGAACTGTCCCATCTCTGATCTCCCTTACAGATGCTTACACTCAGAGTTACTCATCTGCACTGAGTCAGGTCAGACAGCCCTGAAGGAACTGGCATCAGACCTGAGAGGCAAGAAAGAGATTCCCTGGGAATTCCCTGATATGTTGGACATACTGGGGCTTAGCCTTTCCGAAGGGGCTATCAAGGCCACTGAGATGTGGCAACAGAACCCAGTGATGTGTGGTTGGCTCCACACGCCTCTAGTGGTCTTTCCCTGCAGCTGCAGGGACAGGCAACTGGAAGGGTTCTTGGCCCCCTTCTTTCCTGGCCGTGGCATATTGTCAAACCCTCATCTCCTGCCCTCTGCTTGCTGACATCCTGAAAGAGGTTTCAATGTAGGCAGCACCTCCTTATGTCAACCCTTAATGTGTCTATATGTAAAGACAAATCAAGGTGCTGCCAATCCTGGCCTCAGACTAGGGAGCTGAAGAGCCCAGAAGGGCTACATGTCTCCAATTCTGGCCCAGATTCAGGTTGGCTCTAGCATTCAACAATGGGCAATGCTATGTTGTCTCAGCAATTGCTGTGTAAAAAAATCATGCTGAACAGTCACCTGAAACAGCGATTTGTCCTGCATTAACTAGATGATTTTGTGGCCACTGGGATGGCCACAGGTCTAACACCTCACTCTTCAGTCACTGGCTGGGGTATAGTTGGTTTTGTCAGTCTCTCCTCTCCATTGGGAGCTCTCTGCATGGTTACCCAAGCTTCCCATAGCATGCTACGGTCTGAGGGTGGGCCAATGACTTACATGATCAGGGCTCCAGGTTGTCCCAAGGCCCGGTCAGGAATAGGCCCAGTATCACTGCATTGTATTCAATGGGCCACTTCAGATGCAAGGGAGGGGACCAAACAAAAATGTGAACTTCAGGTGTGGTCACAAGGGTTGTCAAAACACAGTTGTGACATCTCAAACTCCACATGTCCAAATTGGAGTTCTGTTCAAACCCCAGTCCCACTCAAAAAAACCTAAAAAACTAATTGGAGCTACTGACCTCTCCTAGTCCTGCACCCTCACCTCAGGGATGCCAACACTAGCTTTCCAGGTGCTCAGGCCAAACCTTGGAGTTGTCCTTGACTCTTTCTACCACATCTGCTTTGTCAGCAAATCTGGCTTGCTCCATGCTATGACTTGGATCTTAAATGTCCCCCAAAGACCACATACTAAAAGCCTTTAGGTGAAGCTTTTAGGATGTGGGGCCTTGTGGAAGTGACCTTGAAGGAGATAGTGGGACCTCCAGCCCCTTCCTCTTTCCTCTTCAGTCCTGGCCATGAGGTAAATGGCTTTGCTCTGTTACGAACTCACTGCCATGATATATTGCCTCATCACAGGCTCAATGGTTTTTGATTGGTCCACTGACCATGGAAAGAAACCTCCAAAACTGTGAGCCAAAATAAATAATTTCCTCTATATTTTTATTTTTAAATTTTATATTGTTGGACTGGGGTACACTGTGACATTTATAAAAGTTCTTACAATATATCATAGTTGCATTCACCCATCATTCTCCTTTATCCCCCCTGCCATTCCTGGAATAATTTCAACAGTTCTCATTTTTTCCATTTTCATACATGAGTGTATATTTCCACCACACTCACCCTCCTATGCCCTTTCCTTATACCTCCCCCACCCACTGGTTCCAACCCTGCACCCCAGGCTGCACCTGTTTTGCCTTCCTGTTCTCTGTTTTTGAAAAAAAGACATTTTTGTCTAAGATAGCTATAGAAGGTATGCCATTGTGACATTTCCATGTATATATGTATTATAACCCGAATTGGTTCATCTTCTCTGTTTTACTCCTTTCTACCTTAGTCCTCTTATAAGCCTCCCTTTACAAACTGATGACCTCAGGTATGTTATAGTAATACAGTAACCTTCATGGAGATGATGCTGCAAGCTGGGTAAGAAAACATCATGCAGCTTCTGCATGCTTCTCAGGAAGCTCCTCCTTGGAACCCAATGCCAATGAGAAGCCCACACACGCAGTCCACTCACCCATGCTAGATGATCTCAGCTTGAGCCACCCCAATAACCCCATCAAGAATGTGCATGGAGCATCAGCATTTAGTCCCCCACTTGGGGCTTAAACATGATGGAGCAGAGGCATGCCATTCCATCAGGTCTGAATTCCTGACCTACAGGACTTGTGAACATAATGAGAGGGCTTCTAATTGATGCTTCTAGGTTCTCGGGGGGAGGGGGGGTCTGTTAAGCAATAGATAGTGGATCATGCCTTCCTTTAGAAACTCTGGTTCTTCTTGGCCTTGGAGTTTGGAGCCTGCCAGCAGCCTTGGTGAAAACCTTGGAGTCTCAACTAAGAGGGGAGGGAAATCTGGTACTCAGTCCAAAGCACTTTTCCTGGAGGTTGCACAGTAACCCCAAGAGGGGATCCCAGAAGGGAAGCTGAGAAAATTTGGCAAGTGACAGTGGACATCTCCAAGTGGCTAGTATGTGGTCAGGCCCACTGGGACCGTGCTGAGGGGAGGATGAGTGAGAGATGGTGGGTGCTGAGCTGTCACATTGCACAACTCCAGTGTACTACAATAGGATCTGTGGATAATGCTCCTGGTGTGCATTCACAACTTGTGCAGCCATACCTGTTGTAGAAAACAACTAGTTTAAGGATATTGGGGCCACGTGGGGAATGCCTAGTCTGCAGCCAGAGTAAAAAAACTCCTATGACCTTTGCTACCCTTACTTCTCAGATTAAGATAATTTTTCCAGTCTTGTCAGGCTCTCTCCTGAGTGCCCTATACCGATACCTCATTGAACTTTCACAACCGTGCTGCAAGGAGATTGTAGATTTGGGTTGACCTGATTACAACAGGTACTTAGAAACTGCTTTTGCTCAAAAGAACTGACTCCTTATCTAGGCCTGCCAGACAACTAAAAGTCTAGCATCCCCACCTGCATTTTTTTTTTTTTTTTGGGTGGTGTGAGAAACACGCTTACCTGTCGAAACTTAAAGAATGGACTCAGAGGCACCTGGAGTACTGTGAAAGTGAGACTTTAATGGTGATCTTGCAAAACTGGGTGTCTGGTGAGCAGGCGCACTCAAAGCTATTACAACAAGCATTATATTCTCTAGTGTGCAAGTCCCTCTCCTGGTTCCTCATTGACTGAGTACTATGGGTTATGCAATTTTCCCCAGATGTCACCTAAGTTTTATTATTTTCTGTTGGGTTATTTTTAAATATGTCTCTCTTGAGATTGGTCAAAGTTTAGAAGTGTACTTCTAGTCATCTTCACCTCCCTTTGTGTCCTTGTTGTGGGAGGGTTTCCCTGTGATATGTACTTTTTGGCACATACATAGTTTTTATCCATTTCCTCATCTTATCGTGGCCCCTCCCCAACACCTTGTTTATAACTTTCTAGGTACATGCAAGCAAGTTAACCTGCCTGGATCACAGAGGTCCTTGAACCGAAAGGGCTCAGGGTAGAAATGAACAAGACAGGACACACAAAGGGTCTCACTCACTCAGGAAGGGAATGACAAAATACATATTGAGAGGGCCAGAAGGCTGATGACCAACTGGCAAAAATTTTATTTATCTCAGCAAGCATTATACAAAAGAGCAAGAGACTTAAACATCAAAACACTCTGACCTAGTTACAACCTTTCTGTTTTTGCCATCCTGTATTTTTTACTGCCAGTGTCCTTGACTAAGTATGAACTTCTTTTCAGTCAAGGGAAACCATTTAGCATTCCTTCCCACTGTGATAGAGGCACGGTGCACCTGCAGATTCCGCTCTTGTCGGAATGCTGCTAAGCCACAGCGACCTTGTCAGACTGGGGCTTTTGGTTCCCAACATCTCCTCTCTTTTATATTTTTAATTGAACGTGGTGAAAGTCTGCTTTTAATTTGAAGAGCTGGTACATGCCAATATGGCAGATGACTGGAAATAAACACAGAATCCAAAATGAGTGTCTTAATATGTTAAAGGAGTTAAAACCCTTTAAAGTGTCTAACACCCGGGTGGCCACATCTGAGGGTTAAATGATAGGCAAATCACTGTTTTATATGTCTGGTATTTCTTAATGTAAAGCAATTAAATCTAAACTCAGGTTAGTATGAGACTGATTCCTTTTAGATGCTGTTTAATACGTTCCCAACTCCATTGAGACTCATTATAAGGTTTAGCTGTGACACAAATCCATTGGTAGGAAGAGTGACAGCGCAGGGACACACGGGTTTTCATGGTTTGTACCTCATCCCCAAGCAACACAACTACTGATTCTAAGGCATCAAGTCATGCCTGAACCTTTTTGTCAATAGCTTCTTGATATAGTAATGTTAAAGACACATTTTTAGCCAAATGATTAACATAATGAGCTGTTTGGATACTCTGTGACAAGGCTATAGT